ATATGAATAGTACATTCACTGATGGAAAATCTGCGACTAAATTGAATGTAACGAAGCTATCAGAATTCAAACCAGCTACCGTAAGTGAAGTCGACAGAATTATTGACAACCTCAATTGTAACACTGCTACGGGCGTGGACGGAATCAGCACGAAAACAATTTTATGTGTAAAACCTCTAATTATTGAAAACTTGACCAAATGTATAAACACATGTCTTAAACAAGGTAAATTTCCTAGTAGTCTAAAAATTGCCAAAGTTACCCCAATACATAAATCAGGTAGTAAATCTAATCCTAGTAACTATAGGCCCATATCGGTACTACCTGTTATATCGAAAATTTTTGAAAAGATTTTGTACAACCGTCTCGAAAAGTTCTTAAATACAAATCAAATTCTCTCAAACAACCAATATGGATTTAGATCAAAATCTAACACACTATCTGCTACAATAGACTTAATAACCAAAATTAAACTAAATATAGACCAAAAACATATAGGGCTAGGCATATTTATAGACTTGAAAAAAGCATTTGATACTGTAAGTCATACAATTCTTTTGAATAAACTATCTGACATAGGTATAACTGGCTCTGCGCATAGCATCTTTAAATCTTACCTTTCAAATCGTAGCCAGATAGTTAAAATTGGTTATCACGAAAGTCAACCCAAGTCTGTTACGTACGGCGTTCCTCAGGGATCAATATTAGGGCCTTTGTTATTCCTTATTTACATCAATGACATACATGATTTGAGTCTTAAAGGTGATGTTACGTTATATGCCGACGATACTGGTTTATTTTACTTTGACCACTCAATAGATACAGTCATATCCAATGCCCAAGATGATCTTAATTTACTCAACAAATGGTTTCAATACAACCTACTAACCATAAACATCTCAAAAACAAATTACATGCTGTTTAAGGCTAAAAATAAGAAAATCTCAGACTATCCTTCCCTTAAAATAGACAACCAAAGTATCAATCAAACAAATAGCGAAAAATATCTTGGGCTAATTATTGATAGCAACCTTACATGGCAAAGTCACATAGAAAAACTTAAATCCAAACTATCATCTCTCACTGGAATCTTAAGACCCATCTCACGATGTCTGCCACGTAAAGTGCGTTACTTTATATATAACTCTCTGGTAAAGTCCCATATTGATTATTTAATAGAGATTTGGGGCACATCCTCCAAAACTAACTTAAACTTACTACAAAGAGCCCAAAATAGGCTAATAAAGGTCCTTTTTCACTTTGATTATCTAACGCCTACGGAAATAGTGTATAGAAACACAAAAATACTAAATCTAACCCAGACTTACGTATACTATACCTGTTTATTGGTGCGTAAAGTATTGGGCGGCGATATCCATACACAAATAAGTTTCACCATAAAAAGAGACGTTCAAAAGACTCAATTAAGAAGTGCTAATAATATAGTTTTGAAACCACCGCGCACCAACTATGGCAAAAAGAATCTCATGTATGAAGGCGCGCAGTTATATAACAGGCTTCCTAAAGATATTAAGGAATCGCGATCCATCGCTTCTTTCAAAAAAATGCTTAAAGATCATGTAATTAAAAACTACAAGTAATTACTAAAAGTATGAATCTTAATATTAATCAGACAAACAAGCTATTAAGCTAAATAAATATAGAATAAAGTGAAACACACTTAAAAATAATTTTCATCTTACAAATATTGATGACAAAAATTAAAATATCGTTTCCAGTGAGGCGCACTAAAATCTTACATCTTTGTAGTGTGATGTTCACTCCGTCTACGCTCGAAGTTAGTGTAGGTAACCGTCAAAAACATTATTATTTTGATACCGCTTTTATGTGTGCTCACAAATAAAATATGTTGTGTATTAGTATTATGTTCTCATGTTAAGTGAATTGTATCATAATTCTTAATGAGAATAAATAATTTTAAACCAAAATAATCTCAGTAGAGGCTAGGAGTTTACTATTACCTCCCAACACTTAAACATGTTAACATTGCATCGAGAGGCATTAATATCTGTCGACGTAGTGTCGTATTTAGTCGGGTGAATATATGACGTACGGCTTACGTCGTAAAACGTCTGTCATTTCGTATGGAGATTTCTGGTGCTGCGACATTGTCTGGACGTTAAGTACATTGGCTACATGACTGTGGAGCTAGGGCGCAAGGATCAAGAGTTAAAAATCGAAAGACTATCATCAGAAAAGACAGGTGCGTGCATTCTTAACTAATACAAAAAGAAAGGTAGTGACTATTATAATTAGTAGTTACTTTACGAACAAAAATTCACGTGTCGATTAATGATTGTATGAACATAATGAAGTGTTTTTAACTGGAGTCAAGAGAAGGTGTTGCGGATGTAAATGTGGTGTATGTCTAAACAAAAACTGTCCAACCGAGATTAATAGTAAAATGTTGAGGTTGTTTAATAAAATTAGATAAATGATATCTGTAAACATAAACAATACATTTTTTTTTTGTGTATTTTAATTAGTTTTAATACAGTACAAATTATTAACCTGTGGAAGTAAAGTGTCAATATTAGACATTTATTAAATAAAATGACTTGGCAATCACATTCGGCAATATTTGTGTTAGAATGAAGGCTCTACTAGCGCTTTGGTTAATTAAAAATTGGTAATTGAACTTTTACAATTGTATTGAAATACGATGCCAGGTTATTTTTATTTGTTAAAGATATAAAGATAACTATTATTACTATAAAATGTTGTTAGTTACTTAATTATGAAACGAAAAGAAGATTAGATCTTAGAACTTTTTGCTGTAGAAGAAAGAGGGCTGTGACTTGCGATACTTCGGTATGTTATGTGTTATCTTTAATTTGATGGAATTAGACAATAAAATACAAGGTGTCGTTAGATTCGTCTTATTTGTGTGTAGATAAACATTAGAATCGCTGGTTCGTAAATTTAAAGTACCTATATACGTTTTCACGTATCTATTGTTTTCTTCAGTAGTTAGCTTGTTGGGCGTACCCCTTTATCACAACTGATTAAAAATTACTTATATCTATTTCATATTATTATCATATTTGACTACTTAGTAAACCAGTAAATGTGTCAAAGTACAATGAAAGGAAAAGAGTAAATAAGTTACGTGTTAGGTCGTTAATGAGTTCAAACTTCTGTCAGTTTGTGAGGCGTTAGCTTCGAGCTAATGCTAATTACCAAGGCCGTTAAGATGTTTGATTAATGGCCTTTTATTTTCGCTGCCTTAACACAACCCGTTAACGCGAAGATAAGCACAAGTGATGTACTCGTATCTATTGAGAGTAAGTTTGCTCCGTTTCACTCTCACGTCTTTCTATGAAAATATGTAAGACTGAAATAATTCCACATTAAAGCTAATTACTGTTATCCATGAATATCGTAGAACAAGTCTTTTCAAACCTACAGTTATTATTAATAAATCAAAAGTTTTTACAAGCAATTGCATTATCGTACATGAATAATAGGTATAATCCACACTGCGGCACACATAGGCCGGTTCAGCCGAAGTCTTATCACGGCCTTACAGACCCCACGACCTGTCTATTCCTGGGGGGGGGGGGGACATTCTTGAGTTGCCGTCCATGGCCGGTGGCAGTCATTCATCATCGGTGACTCGTCTGTTTGTTTGCTACTATGCTATAAAAATATCGTTTTCCTCACGCTGCGCTTATATTATGATTATTAACCATTACGCGACCACTGCTTTTAACATGAATATTGAAATCCTATTAAAATAACTCAGTTTATGGTAATATTAAAATGACGAGGTCTGGAGTGTGATGCCACATAATGCCGCGGGGGGGCGCGTAAGTAGTGGTTAACGAGCACTCACGACGGCAAGTGTGCATTAAGTGATCGTTTAACTCAAGTTAAGGGCGACGCGGTGACGGCTCTCTGCGACGACATCATTAGCTGGATACGACCGCTTCGTAACCGTTTAACCTTATTAGAAATCTGCATTTCACTAATAATTTTCTCTTTATTTCTTCTTTTCACAACTCCAGTTTAGTTCCTTCTTCTTTCATCTTTCAAGCTGTACTCTTTTTAAGTTAAAAGTATGCCAGCTCTACGGAGACTTCTCGGCAGAAACACCTGTACAATAAATACTTCGCAAATGCCATTATTTATATTTAAATGTACACATATTTACATGAGTATGATATTCTATTCAATAATTGGGGAAAATTAAATTAAGTCGTAATTACGAGTCTCTTTAAAATATAATCATTATTCACAAAACGTATTTACATTTTATTAAATTTAATTATAAGTTTACTCTCACATACAAAATGTTCATTCTCCTGTACATCATTGAAGAGGCTTTCCTTACATTCATTACACAATTAAATAAACATTTATGTATGTGTGGGTATATCGGCTGTATGTATGTGTAAATATAAAATATATATTTTACTCTGTTACTAAGTTTAAGCTTCGTTCGTTTCTGCGTTACATAAAGGACACTTGAATGAAAATAAATGAATATTTCCAAGCAGTCTAAATATAGAACTAAATCATACGGCAGTAGGTAATACCTGTTAACTTCAAATCAATATCTTTTTATTAAAGTCAAAACGATAGACGCGGTACATTTTTATATGAGATACTATGGCGTGACGTCATACGTAGCTATTGGCAATTCATTTATATTTAATAGATTTGGAGATATCATCATCATCATCATCATCAACAGCCTATACTAGTCCACTGCTGGACATAGGCCTCTCCTTAGAAAGGAGGTTTTGGCCTACTATACGACGCTGGCCAGACGGGTTGGAGATATCAAATCAATAAAAACATTAAAATTGATAATTGAGGATAATTCAGGCTGAAACTTAAGATTTTACATTTAAATATGTCATAAACATTTGGATCAAATTTAAAGCTATGCGTATGACTAACGCATGAAAATGAAATCTTCATTGTTTCATAAAATTCTTCCATTTCAACAATTTGTATGTCACCTGACAATAAACATGAATGAAGGTCGTTCACATGATAGAGAACCACGCCGCGCGCCGGCTACAATTTCATTCACCGAAAGAGCGGCGCTCACGTGCGTTGGGGATCTTCCAAAATCTTTTATAAACTAAATAATAGATTCTGTAGAGAAGAAAAGGAAATCAATTAACGCTATATCATTTTCAACGACAAGTATACGAGTTGTAATAAAAATAATGTATTGCTAATTTTAAGGGAAAATGTTTTTTTATTAATAAACAAGATATCTATTTAATGGCCTGCTATATATCAGTGTGATATATCGGGTACTTACTGAGGTAATAAAAACACTGAAAATATCTTAAAACTCGTATCTACAGGTAAATTATAGCTCCCTTAGGCCACATAGTTTGTATAAACGCTGCATAAAATTGTTCAAGGTCAAGATTTATTTTATTCGTGACCTATTTCTTTTTATTAGCCGGTACATTGAGATTAAACATCAACTAGTAGAAAATCTTTTATTAAATTTATGTCAGAAGCAGGAGATAATGTAATCAATATTCAGACCATATAGGTTTAAAGCAGAAATGAAACAAAACCTAGGCATATAAGTGTACGGAGTTGAGCACTCCAACCGAATAACCCGATCCATGGTGCAACCATTTCATAAAAAATAACTCCATGAAAGTGATGGCTCTTCTCAAGGCGTATTTTGTGTTATTTGGAGAAAGGACTTTTTCACGCAGCAATTAGGTTCCAAAAAACTCATTCCAGGAATAGCTCTATAAACACAATAGCTAGTTGTTATTCGTTGCGCAGAGAATGTATATTGTGGTAACAATTTACTGAGAGTAATAAAATGTAATCACAACAATAAAGGTATTGTACCCTCCGCATTCATATACACAAGTAACGATTTCATTAAAAGCGGTGATGTTGTACTCGTAAGTCGAGTGAACAGCCGAACGATGCGTGGGTAGAAAATCAACGTTGTTGCTCATTTATGTGACACGCGTCAAAGATTAGTCACTTGCGATATGGGCCGCACTACCATTTTTATTAACTTTCGTACTGTACAGTACTAGCAGAAAAACGTTATATATATTTTATGAATCATAAAATATAAGCAACGACATTCAACCACAATTTGTGTTGTCGTAAATTATGACAACACACAATCTGGCCTCAAAATCTCAATTGGATTCGTATTGAACCTCATAAATAAACACATAAACAATTTCCAGAGACTAGGTTTTTATTTTATGAATATTATTACATAGACATTGTGACTTGGTGTGGAGTGGAATGTTAATGTGAAAAGTTTGTTACAGGGTGCTAAAACGGAATCGCATCGCATACATCGAGGAGCGCGCCTTTACGAACACGCCTGCGCTGAGAGTCCTGTGAGTATGCTCTATTGGACATTTAAAAGTTAACAAACAGACTATTGTACTCCTATACCTGACTATTAGATTGTGGATTGCTACTTAAAACAGGCATTAATATCTGTAGGAAACAGATGGATGTGCTCCAAAGCAGAATGCAGGGATGAAAATAAAGCTTCCAATATATTCACTAAATCTTTCAATGAGGCAATTTTATTCCAAACTTTTCTGAAAATTGACACAAAGCTAATCGGTTTATTATTGTTTACTCAGTGACTCAAAATACAATTAAGTTTGACAATTTTGCAATTGACAAAAAAAACTAAATAATTATTTTCGTCGCCGAATTTTTATAGCATAGAAATGACTAAAAAATCTAAAAGTATTTCGGACATGTCCATACAAAGCGCGCCGTCCTCCTCAAACAATTAGCGTGACTGGTGATCGGTACGGTGGTATACCGCGTTAGTTACGCGTTAAGTTAATGTGTCGTACTTAATTATCCCGCCATCAACGAGCCACGGGACGAGCCGCTATCAGTACTTAAATGTTACGACGCAAGGGGACGCCACTTCGCACCCATTAGTATTCATTACCCGAACAATCTATCAAGGTTCTTGAAGTGACGTTGTGCGGAAAAGTTTGTCTTTCTAAGGAATCGAATGGGTGGACATCTGTTATTGAGCTCACTGGTTGTGAACAATATCGCATTGTTTCCACCTGTGGAGCATACTGAAGACTAATTTCCTAAGTATCGAAGTTTTTGTAGAAATAATGAGTATGAAGGATAGCTATGGAAATAAAAAATAAAGATATTACTATTATTATAGCTTATGAAAGGAAACGAGTCACTTGCGCTTGGCGACGCATCGCCACACTGCATTACATGCGGTGGCGACGCGTCGTCACGCCAATATCCAGTCTGACTCTCCGCCTTAAGTAGGTGTTTTATTTCAAAACTACATACGGTAGTTTTGAAATAAAACACCGGGCCTGAATATTTTTAATTATTTAAATATAAGTTAATGGCATAATATAAGTCTTAATGTATAGTATTCAGTAATGGATAGTAGTTTTAAATGCCACCTTTAGTATCTTAGTATTAATGGAAGCCCTTGCCCCACGGCTATTGATCCCACCGTCTTAACTGCGAGTAGAGTCAAAAGTCGATCGTGGAATATAAATCAATGTTGATAAGAATTGTGTACATTGCCGTTTACAGTACATGGTATTATCACCGGTTTACGACAGTATCTGTAGTGTCCGGTGGAGCGAGGCTCGCTCACTGGGCCGCACTAAGGCGATAACAAACACGCCTCTTAACGCGGACTACACCCGATGTGTACGGGCTTGTCGGAGCACATATTATCACAACTCCCTGCTAAGCTCTTGTTTAATATATCCTTATGTTGTTATTCGTAACTAAACACGTTTCTCTTCAGACTCAATATTGTTAACGAGTTTGGTATCAGAAAATAATCACTGTAATTTTTTAAGGCCAAATAGTTGAAGTCAATCTTTTAAAATTACTTTAGAAAATGGGCTCAGGCAATAAAAACAGCAAAAAAAACTACGCCTTTTTTTTGTCTGCGGAAGTCCGTTCGGTTACCACCCACCTGTAAAATGGTTATGTCGCACTCGAAGCGACGAAAAACCGGACGCCGTCTCGGGTAGCAGTAGCTGAGGAACCAGGTGTACCCTAGAAAAGAAATCCCTTGTACTCCGACGTACCTCGGGTCATTTACGGCGGTGTAGATGACCTCTGACTACCTCCTCCCATGGCTTCTGCACACTTATGTAATTATTAAGTTTCTTATACCAATTTTGCAGTATATTTAAGTATGACCATATCTACGAAACCAATTTTTGGTTTGTACCTGAACCGCAGCTAAAAATCATCACATCAGAAAATAAATATTTGTAATTTATTTGTGCAGACGGCTGGAAGAGAATCTATTATCAGAAGTACCAGCGGCCGTGAGACTGCTACCCCTCCTTGAAGATCTGTAAGTATTATGAGTTGTTGTTTAAGTAGCAAAGTTAGTTGAAGAGCAGGGTAATTAAAGTTTGTTGTGATATCAAAAAGTCAAAATATTAGAGATTTTTGTTATGGTAAAAGGGGCAAATGAGTACCTGATGGTAAATTGGTAACGCCGCCTGGAGACGCATGGAAATCTGCTACTCAAGAGCCATAATTTGCCGCCCTCTGAGTCGCCCTCTTCCCCCTCCCAGAAGCTAGGGGAAGACGGGGATCTTTGCTTTGGTAACCTTACTCATTCGGTGAAAAGTTATTAAAGAATTTCTTAACAGCAGTGTTCTATGAAGCTATGGTATCACCTTGGTCGAGCCTGACCATCCGAGCCGAAGTATGACTCTCAAACAGTTAAAAATGTTGTTCTCTCAGATGATGTAATAAGTTTCATAACCGAACCCTAATGGTTATTGACCTCAGGTTCAGCCTTAATACAACTTAACCTTAAACAATATTGTCATAGGTCAGTAGCGAGCAATCGCGTGGAGCTTGTGGAGACGGGCGTGCTGCAGGCTTGTCGGAGACTAGCGCGCCTGGAGCTCCGAGCCAACCCGCTGACCAGGGTGCATCCCAAGGCACTCCATCACCTGCCTTATCTCTCCACGCTGTGAGTATTATTGAGTCCAGTTACTGACTTGGTTAGAGTGACTTTCCCTCAATAGTTTGTTTGAGTCATTGGTATGTAGTCTTGACCTGTTCGAACTTTTGTTGCTTACATTCTCTAATCCATATTATATCCCAATCCTAAATAAACGATATCCCTTTTCTCTTCTTTCCCAATCGTTTCATTTAATCCCTAAAGCAATGGACTTGTAGGCCATTACTGATAAAGGCGTGAGTATACGTATGTATGTACATTAGTATTGATCACCGATTTACTTGCTTTCTTTTATTTCTTATATAATTATATATATACTAACTATATAATATACATACATAAATACACATATACACTTTACATACATTATACTAGACCACACAATTGTAAACAAAGGCCATTCGGGTAATTGATGGCCTCTGTGTCGTAGAACACTGGACTGCAACGTTCGAGGTTGGAGATTCGATGCCCGCTCCGTGCAAATTTTTGTACAAGTAAATGCCTTGGTCTGAATGTTTATATTTATAATCTGTTTGTATAATATTTACAAAAAATGTCTAAGTACATTTATTCTTGTTTGAAAACGTCCAGTACAAGCTATGCCTATTCTGCTTAGCATAAAAAACCTCCCACTGTCTAGTTATTGAAGATTATTATTTTAAACAAGGTCCATACAGTACATCCGTAACAAACAGACCGTCCTTCGTTCAATATGTTCACGGTATCAGAGCATGTATTTCCGAGCCTGATCACGAAAACAACAAATCCAAGCCTCTGTTGTTTTCCTCCAAAACATCCTGTGTCATGGTCAAATGGTAAAGACAATATAAATACAAGTATGTGACAGCTGTACACAGAGATGGCGAGCAACGCCTCGCTGTCAAGCGACTTGCGACTTCAAATAAAGGGGGTGACTCAGAGCTCCGTTTTTTTGTGAGCTGATTAGAAAGATCCTCTCATTTGGCAGGTTTTCCTTCCCGTTTGGTCCCATTAAAATCAAAGAAAAAATACCGACCTTAAGAGTGGAAAATCAAGGAATGAATCACATCAACAACTTTTAATAATCTACTGCTGGACATAGGCCTCTCCTTAGAAAGGAGGTTTTGGCCTATTATACCACGCTTTCAAGACGGGTTGGTACAGGGTTTGTGTCAAATTTTCCTTCTCGTTGCAGTGCTTTTGTCCTGCGTAGTTTGTTCCTTGTTTGTTCTTAGTTGGTTGTTACGACACCCACGGGATAAATAGGGGTGGTGACACTCCGTATTCTTAATCTGCCTCCACATGGAAGCGTCACCACACGGAAGGAATGAATAACACAGTTTATTTTAATTCATCCGTGTGGTGACGGATTAAGAATACGGAGTACCACCACCCCTATTGACTAAGGAAGTAAACTACGCAGGACTACAGCACTGCAAAAACAAGGAAAACTTGACACAAACTTTATACCAACCCGTCTAACCAGCGTGGTATAGTTGGCCAAAACCTCCTTTCAAAGGAAAGGACTAGGTCCAGCAGTAGACTATTAAAGGCTGTTCATGATTACAATTTATCATGATGTATGCGCATTGAAAATACGGTGATACTATTTTAAAAGTAAATAATCAGCAGCTGTCTTATTAGCTGCAAATGTATTCATTTAATTTCCAAAGATTTAACGACTCATTCTAACTCAACTCTCGGTTAAATATCAATTCCTTCTTCTTCAGAGACAGTTCGGTGCGGTCGTATCATAAAATCTCGCTGCTCAACGAACTCAGGGTCGTCGCTAATTATTTTGAGTGGTTACATTATAATATCTGTTAACTCGTTAAAATTCATGAACATCATCTTGGCTCACAAAATGTAAACAAGGAAGTGCTGCTGAACCGCAACGATTCACCGGAACTTCCTTATAATTATTAAATTTAAACTCGTTTTAAATATTGTTAGAACTGTAACAACGAAAATATAATTATATTATTTATCTGAATTCTATTGTATGTATAAGTTCTGACCTTTCGTAACCGATAAGTGCCGTAAGTTTAGCGGTTACGAAAGTTACGAAAGTCATTCATACGAGTACATACGTCAATACCGTTACGACTTGATATTACATCGATTTTGAACAGATCAAAGGTTTGCCAGTTCCGTGAAATACGAATAAAGGTAGCTTTTACCAATTTTCTGATAATATTACAGGAGACGCCATTAGGGGATTTTAGGCATACTCGTATAACCAGTACTTTTTTCTGTGACAATTGTAAAACAGATAAATTTTCGGCGGAAACAAGACCAGGGGGAATCAGCCCTAAACCTCTATAACAGCCTGTTATCCGACGAGCCTTATACAAGGTTATAAACTAATATAGTGTACTAGTCGAATCCCCTCATTTCACTTGTTTTTATCATCGTCGCTTCTAGGGGTGATATTACATAACCTTCCCATATATATTTAATAATCCCCAATTATAATAATAAAAATATTCAAATTATTCAATATGAAAATAGTTACGCTTTATTAAATTAGTATAAATTGTCCCCTAAGGTACATATTTTTTCAAAGTATTTTTTTTCTTTCGAGGAAAATTCTGCTCCTCAATCAGGTAAAACTTCGTAAAACCAGAAACTGAAAAACAAAACGTAGGAACACTACAATATTTATACAAGTCGTCTCGTTAGCAAACATTGTTTGATAAAACAAAATTTGGTATCCAAGCTACGCGCCTGGGGACAAGATCTGCTATCAGGCAAAGGATGGAAAATGCGCCTTCAATACTTTTGGAAATAAATGTTAAATAGTTTAGTTTTTCCAAATATGATATTCTAATACTTGTTGCTAGTGGTAAGTGCTTACCGACGCCCATCGACGGCGCTACATGCAGCCCAAGAATCACAAAATCTTTACCGCCCTTTGAGTCAAAGAGATTTGGGAGGACTTTCCGATACTAAAAATACTTTCGAAATTCAGTTTCAAAATTCTTATTCAATAGTTTGAAAATTGTATTCTTTCGGACCGCCTCTGTATCTTTGTTTAAAAAATACATGAATTTACTAAACCAGAAACTCGTACAATAAAGAAAAGTCACTTTAATAACGAACCGAATTAAGAAGAAAAAGAGATTTACGGCATCCAACTCCTTCATCAATAGACCATTGTTACTAGGCTGATCTGTTCAGATCAGATCAGCTCCAACACATGGAATTACTAGAATAACGTGAATTTTTCCGCGTTTTGTAATGTCCCTACTGCAGTAGAGTGACGTCATCCTCTACATCAGATAAGCCATGAACATGCACGGACCCTAAACGCTTCTGGCGTACCGTCACCTATATGACAACACTTGAAAACTGCTCGAAAAAGACTGGACGGATGGCTTAGTGGTTTAAGCGGTCACCTCGCCTACTGCTCTGAATGTTTTGGGTTCAATCACCACATGGGATAACACTTTGTATGGTCCAAAAATTGTTTTTCGTCTTTCCTTTCTGCTGATTCATGTACGGTAGTAAAAACCCAAGCGACACACGATATATTCCTACAGCGGGAGTTGTCTTTTTAAAGGTAAACATAAAAGAAAAGTGTGAAAAAGAATTGTGTATCAGGAATTTCACCAATGAACGCGCGCGGTACTACTCGTATGTCAGCTGTTACATATCATACACGACTGATGTAATCGCCGCTTGTTTTTTCTTTTATAAAGTAAACGGTGTTACCTAAAGTTATTGAGACGAGTTTACAACTTTTCTGTCGATACAGGGGTGTGCGGGCCGCGCTCGTAAACACAAACATAAACAGGGGCTGTTTGACCGAATACGTTTGAGCCGGAGGGTTGGCACCCCCGGCCGCCGGCCCACAGACAGTATATGAGGAGTTTGTTTGGGCACCCGATTTCTATTAGAAAAATGTTTTGTAAACACATTAGATATGTGCTTTAAGACTCCGAAACTTGTTTGGACATGGATATACGTAAATATTAATACAACAATATGTGTATAAATATTTTGGATAAACGACCATCGTCTTTATAAAATATTAGATAAAACAGATACCAATAAAACTGTTTGTATGTTTGTCCTCTGTGCATTTCTAAACCATTGACCAGATTATGTTAAACTTTTATATTATAGTGAAACACCTTTTAACTCCACGTGGTATTGCAACACGGGCCAGGTTAGGCTGTTATAATAACATAACATATTAACATAACAATTTATGTTTGACTGGCCTGTTGCTCTAGTCTTGTAGATAGTAACCCTGACTGCTAAACCAGAACGTAATGAGCGTGATCATATGTTGTGTCTGGGTGTAACTCATCTATAAATAGGTATGTGGTTGTCATAGTACAGGCTCTGCCTAGTTTGGGATTAGACTGCCATATGTGAAATGTGTAAAGGTTATATAAAAATAAAATGAAATAATTATCTGGGAGAAATCCATTTTTTTTCATTAAGAAATCACAAGTATAAACGATAATCGAACCCATGACCCCATGATGTGACAGTTGAACATACTGCCGCCGCTTCACAGCTCAGGTCGTCTTGACGACTGCAATTTTAGTATTTAGTGAGCCTGGGGTACACACTACGAACAGACATGATACCACACTATGTCAAGTAAGGATGTTTAGTCTATATGGTTGAGAAACTTCCTCAGGCCTTAGATAGAAATCAAAACGTTTATTGCACATGACAATGTAGTGGAAACTGATAAAAAAAAGAATCATCGTAGGTTAGGACTCTTACAACATCAAGAGTACATCTATATTTGAGACATAACTTAGAAATTACATATTGTAAGAGCGACCATGGTTGACCATGGTTTTATAGACAAACAAGCTTTAAAAAATATGTCACTTTACTAAATAAATAAAAATGATTCATCAAAGGATTCCTTTTACCAATAAGCAACAGCTATTCTCCCACCACATGTCTTACAGATCCACAAAGACGTTCGCTCGAACAGAATGTAGGTGTACAATCTGCTGTTATCGCGATTTGCCGCACGATTACGTACCAAGCTGTATTAAAAAAGTTTGTTTTCCCGCGCATATCTTTGTATTGTTAGGGTGGCACCTCGGTACACACGCGTTTTGTTATTCCATCCGTTTCGGTCAAGGTTCTTAGAAGTAGGACAAACATTGTGGCCTCGGCTTATATTGGATTGATGATGGTCTTAAGGATCGCAGATTAACATAATGAGAGATGAAATCGGGTGCGACACAGGACGAGCCACACTTAATAACTTGATAACTTAGTTATCCCATGTTGTTAACGATTGACCAAATTTTGGCGACGCTACTGGGTCCAAATATGTATGTTCTGTCATATACTAGTGTTACATTTCGGTGACATTACATGCGCTACCCAAAGAAACGACTTGTCTGAAGTAATTTTTTTATCATTTTCTTAATCCCTTGGTTTAGTACTTGCGTAAATTAAAATTTCATTTAAAAAATTGGTTTATGAGTTGTAAAGATAAACAACTTATTCCATTCCTCGACAGTAATATCTTCTATGCTTATGAAAGGTAAGGGAAAATGTTTGTTATAAAGGATTTCGTAATTTACTACCAGGTGGACGTTTTGTTTGTTGCAGTGTTTTGTCGGAGGCGCGTGGTCTGCGCGTGCTGCCGTCTCTGAACGGGACGTCGCGGCTGCGAACTCTGCGCGTGGACCGCGCGCGCCTCTCCCACCTACCCTCGGACCTGTGCAAACATACACCGCAACTGCGCTCACTGTGAGTATCTCCTGTTCCCTCACCGACGTAGAATCTAATGTAAGTTTGATCATGCAAAGATACAATACTCCTAATTTTCCGTAGGGATGCCTGCTTTTAATCTCCGTTTAACGATCATTTAGGTAAGAGGCCGCAGACTCGCTGGCGACATCCGATTCACCGAAACTGATATCTATCGTGTTCATCGTGCGACCCGTAATTATAGATAATATATGTACTAATAATAAGTAAATCAATTATACTATAGTATGTCGATCAAGCACGTTAAAAACTAATAAAAGATTATTTTTTTGTAAAAACAGAATGCAACTTATGCTGAAAGGGAAAAACAAAGAATACATTTTTATATAATTGTGTAGTTACTTCATCTTTGATGCTTACAACTATTGATCTTATGTACGTGCAATAGACGGAGGCGATGTCATACATGACGTCGCGCTGACGTCTGTAATATTAATGTATATTATCTAATGTATGTATTATGCAGGACTGTTTAATATTTGCACCAGGGACTTCCTTTCTAGGGTATACCTGGTTCCCCGGCTATTAGTACCCGAGACGGCGATCGGTTTTAGTCGGTTCGAGTCCGACATGCCACCGACAGGTGGTATCCGAGGGGATTTCCGCACGGAAAAAAAAAAGAAAAAAAGGACTGTTTAATATCTAACATCACATTACATAGTATGACATCTAACTAACTCAGAGTCCAACTACATTATTAAGATAAATTAGATTGCGTTTTTTCTGCGAATCATAATCGTTACCCGAGTAGGCAACGATTACCTTTTATTGTTATTTGTCGATTTAACTTTTGTAGTAATTTCCGGGCTCCACGAAACGCTTTTCATTTGCGTAATGCGTAGAGTATTCTACTTATTTTTTGTAAAGAGTTTTTCATTAAGATAATCTTATTCATTGTGAGTTTTTACGCGGGAAGACTAACTTTAAAATGCGGCTCGCGCTACGCCTTCACTATTTTTAAATTAATAGAAATAATCAGATATAATATTTTAATATAGAGTCTACGGTAATGCGTAAAGATGGAATAAAATCACAATCACCTTTGATTAATTATATGATTTAGAGATCATATATTCACATCAGTGACTGATTTACAAAACCACTGCGACTTATGATTATTATTACTCCAGCGCAAGACTCGCGAAAGTTCTAAATCTAAAAAAAGGTCGATTCTTTGATAAAATATTTTAAATTAATTTTAATGGCTTTTATCTTTGTCTATGACCAAATCACAATCACAGTTGAAATCGGAGTTATTAAAGCCAATCATTTTATCATATGAATATTATTGTCATGTCTATCTAATGCGGATAGGTTTTATATCTTCGAATCTCAACCAGTATCAGTCACATTAATGTGACTATATTATTGCGATATCACCCATCCCAGTAGTGTAACTTATCCAGTATATAACAATATTATTATGTTATGACAGGCCTGTTGGTCTAGTGGTTAGTGAACCTGGCTGCCGAGACGGGTTCGATTCCAACCCAGGACAAGTAATTGTGTGATGAGCACGATTATTTTCTGTGTCTAGATGTAATTTATCTATAATATATTATGTTTATCAGCAGTCTGGTTACAGTACATAGTACAGACATTGCCTAGTTTCGGATCAGACTGTCATGTGATTGAGATGTGTATTCACATCAACAGGCTTTAATAGTCCACTGCTGGACATAAGCCTCTCCTTAGAAACGAGGTTTGGCTTACTATACCACGCTGGCCAGACGGGCTGGTATAGGGTTGGTGCCAAGTTTTCCATCTCTCTGCAGTGTTGTTGTTATGCGTAGCTTTTCCTTTAGTGATGGGTATTATTATTATGTGTGGTAAATAGAAAAGGACGACTCCGATGTACTGGCTAGGAAAACATCTACAGTTATTGGTAAATCATACTGCACTGCAGCCTACCCTACCCTGCTCAGGAAGCGCACAACATTCGCTGGGCTACCTGAGTGCAGGCAGTCTGCTCAGTCTCAAAGAACTTGATTCCTGGAGCCATGCTGTGATACCACGACCTCACTGAAAACCCTTATTAAGCCTTTTTTCCGTTACTTTTCACCAAGCGAGTGAATGTACCGGAGGCTCAAAGTCCCTCTCCTCCAGAATTCTGAGAGGAGGCACTCAAAGGGCTTCAACGCACTTGTGTTACTTAAGTTACGCGTGTCCATGAGCTGCAATACTCCCCTACATCCATACTAATATTATAAATGCGAAAGTGTGTCTATCTGTCTGTCTGTTACCACTTTACGCTTAAACCGCTAAACCGATTTAGATGTAACTTGTTATTAAGATAGTTTGTGATTGTTGAGGAAGGACATAGGCTACTATTTACCGCGATAACCGACATACATGAGGGCGGAGAGAGAGCCATTATGGTCCAATGTACCATGTACTTTAACCCATTCAAAATCAATGTAACAGACACATGTAGAGAATAGAGATATATGTAGAGTTTTTCTCATAGTGGAGGAAACAGTCTCTCAAGTTATCCTGGAGTACGAGGGAGTAGCCCGACAGCTTAACCAGCCACACGTAAAATAGACCGTCTATATATATAACATTACCAAATGCAGCAACTGAGCTCTGTACCAATTATCACCATTGTGGCAAATTGGTAGCTCCGTTTTTGACACTATTTAGGAAGTTTAATTTTTAGTTTAGTTTAATTAGTCCACTGCTGACGTAGGCCTCTCTTTAGAAAAGGAGATTTTGGGCAACCATACATCGCTGGCCAGGTTGATATAGGGTTTGTTTCAAGTTCGGCGGCTCTGACCGCCCAGAATAGGGCACGCCTCTGGCGCCCTCAGAGGGTAATGGCGGTCAGAGCCATACGCGGTTACCGCACCGTGTCAACGGAGGTGGCGTGCGCGTTGGCCGGAACTCCCCCGTGGGATTTGGAGGCGGAAGTGCTCGCCGAAGTTTATCGGCGAGTGGCTGACTCCCGGGCCGAGAGCGGATTTCGCCCTCCGCCCGAGGATGTGCGCGAGTGGCGCGAAGTCGCTCGCCGAGCCACGATGGCTCGTTGGTCGTTCCGGCTGGAGACTCCACGCGCTGGCTTCGCCGCCGTGGAGGCTCTCCAGCCGGTCATCGCCGAGTGGGCAGGGCGGCAGCACGGGACCCTTTCCTTCCGGCTGACGCAGGTGCTTTCCGGGCACGGTTGCTTCGGAAAGTACCTGCTGGCTGATACCTGGCTGGTAGCGACAGTTGTTTTACCGCGGTCGCAACCTTCTGCGAGGAAGTAATCTCGCAGAAGGAGGCGGCGGAGAAGGCCGCGGGTGGACGGGGTGGGTTTCCCCTCCACCCGCATTAGTTTGGCCAGCCGCGAGGGGGCGGCGTCCGCGTGTGCCGGACGTCGCCTAAAGAGAGGAAAAAATATTGAGACGGAGCCCGCACCAGGAGCGGGCTGGCGCTAGGAGGGGTCCGGATGTCTTAACAACAGCTGTTCCCGGATCCAACCTGTTACAGGCGCAGAGTGGCACACCGTGTGGTTTTAGTCGGTCCGAGTCCGACACACCACCCCGCTGCAAACCCCGGTGGGGTGACGGTCCGAGGGGATTTCCACACGTTAAAAAAAAAAAAAAAAAAAAAAGGGTTTGTTTCAAGTTCCTTCTCTTTGCTGAGCAGTTGTCCTGCGTAGTTTGCTCGATTAGTCCTGTAAGGCTCTTACGATACTCACAGGATGAATAGGCGTGATGACACTCTGTATTCTTAATCTGCCACCACACGGAATCACACTTTTAACGATTCAAAAATAGTTCACAGTTAATTTGTTTTCAGGTTGCAAATCTTCCAATATCCCGCAATACTAGGAACGGTGTACATTCGAGAGGACTTGGCAAGTGGGGCTTTACGTATCGATATAGGATTGAACTAGTCAAATGTGAACTGAACGCGGCGCTCTCGTGCGGTTCGAGAGTTAATCCGCGCGATCCGATACGATCTGCATAAATTGAACATGGCGCCGTGACGTCACCCACCTGCGATACACCGGATAGAAGAAATTAAGCTCTGAAAATACCTGAACATGCTTTTCAATTAAAGTATGAAATTAAATTAGAGAGTATCTCCTCTCAATCAGTCAGGCGGGTTGCCTGTGTGTCTAGTTAGCCTAGTTTTTGATCAGACTGCCGTGTGTGAGATGTGTTCAGTTATTATTATTATAATCGACTGCACGGATGGCGTAGTGGTTTAAGCGGTCGCCACGCCGCTTTCTACTACGCCGAGTGTTGTGGGTTCAAACCCCACATGGGACGACACTTTGTGTGATCCACAAATTGTTGTTCTGAGTCTGGGTGTACTTTGTGTCCGTTTCATGTATGTTTGTAAAGTCCCCCGCGACACAGGATTCATTCCTAATGCAGGAGTTGTCTTTTAAAAAAAAAAAAAAAAAAACAAATCCTACATCATCTTGAACTGCAGTCACTATGTACCGTAGGATCAAGGGGACAATTGGTATGGGAAAAAGATTTTTATCTGGTATGAAACAATCTTACAAGATCCATCGATCTACAAATCTAAGATTTATCCATGGCATACTCGTATGTTTATTCGTAGACCTCAACATACCATTAAGATATTATATGTTATGGCGTTTTTAAACCCGATCTATTTTAAATTGCTTCTGTAGAGTGTGACTCTGCTTCGCTACTGAGCAGAGTTGTTTTGTTTTTTTCAAATACAACCGCATTAGGATTGTATCCTGTGTCGCGGAGGTCTTTACAAACATACATGAAACGGACACAAAGAACACCTTTTTTTTTTTTTTTTTTTTTTTTCCGTGCGGAAATCCCCTCGGATACCACCTGTCGGTGGCATGTCGGACTCGAACCGACTAAAACCGCACGCCTTCGCCGGGTACTAATAGCCGGGGAACCAGGTATACCCTAGAAAGGAAGGCCCTGGTGCCCCGACATACCTCGGGTCATCTACAGACGAGTAGACGACCCCCGCCCCGTGTGGGAACCCCATGTTTCCTGTGCTCCCTGGAAGCGAGCGCGCTTCGCAACGCGCTCGCCGCCACCCCGGCCTGCTTCTGCTAGGGTGACAGATGGCCTCACCTGTCACCCCCAGGCCTGCGCTTATGGAGGACGGAGGTCGTTCTGCGACCTCCGGCGCCTGAGTCGCCTGCGCTGCCTGGCCCGTGCCCGGGCCTGGCGGGCCGGGAGAGTTCTAAACCTCTCCCGGTCCCGCTCTGCCGTCTCCTTCGCGAGCATAACTTGCTCGCAGAAGGAGACGGCAGAGTTCCACGCACTCTCGCTCCGCACGATAGCCGCAATCAGGTTATCGAGCGAGAGAACTCCCACTCCGATGGCAGCCACGAGGTCTCGCCTCTGCTCAACCCACGCCGGGCACTCTGCCAGCGTGTGGAGAGCCGTGTCCACGGTCTGGCCATCGCAGTGGTGGCACTCAGGCGTTGGCTCCTTGCGGATCAGACACAGGTGATCTCCGAAACATCCCTTCCCAGTGATCACCTGCGTCAATCGTTATGAGAGGGTCCCGTGACGCCTCTCGAGCCAATCCTCCATAACGGGTCTTACCGCCGCAATGACGGCGTGCCCAGCGCTCGGTTGCCCGAGTCGTTCCCTCCACTCCCCTATGATGACCTGGCGGAGTTGGGATTTCCGGTCATCGATTTCTCGAATCTTGGGGCATCGACCCAACTCCTGCGCCTCCTTGCGCCACTGATACAGTGCCGCAAGGGCTCTCGCCTCCAGGTCCCACGGTGGAGTTCCGGCCAGGAGACTCGCTGCCTCAAAGGAGATCGTGCGGTACCCCCTTATGATCCTGATGGCCAGCATTCGCTGCGGTCGTCGCAGTATCGCGACGTTGCTGGCCTTCAGGGCCCCCGCCCATACCGGGCACCCGTAAAGGGCCATGGACCGCACAACCCCCGAGTAGAGTCTCCTGCAGGAGTCATCGGGTCCCTTCATGTTGGGCAGCAGCCGCGCCAACGCACGCGCTGCCCCAACCAACTTGGGGACCAGACCTCGGAAATGATATCCGAAGTCCCATCGGCCATCGAGTACGAGCCCCAGATACCTGATCGAGGGCTCGATGCCGATGCGAGTGCCTCCTACCGTGAGGCTAGATCCCTCAGGCGGCTTCCTCCGAAGCCCGTGGACACAAAGAACACCTAGACTCAGAACAACAATTTGCGGACAAGCACACAAAGTGACAGACACAAACTGTCGTCCCATGTGGGGATCGGACCCACCACACTTAAACCACTACGCCATCCGTGCAGCTTTAGTAGCACCGACATTATCCTGAGAGCGACAAATCCACTCCATGACAGCCTATATGCATACATTGTACTCAACTCAACCTGCTTAAAATGGTATCATCAACGAGTTTCATTGATGTAGTTTTTAATACTAAACTATGATTATACAACCCTTCTTGGTACACTTTAGAATATGCCTTCCGAAATACATAATTAGGGCAACATCATCTCACTAACTCTTCTTCTCATCATCATCATCTCACTAAATCTCTCAATTGTACCGGTAAAATAAGGAAATAAAAATATATTTTATTATTATTATAGTCTTCTGTGTCATTAAGAGTTAAAATCATTGTTCTTCTACTGAGGCTTCGAACAGGCAACTGTGAGAAGAATCATCAAAAACTCAGTCAGGCTTGTTTCACAACACCGGTTCTGGACTGAACATTTGTGCAGATCCAAAACACTGAGTACCTTTCATCCATTTTTTTTGGATGGACGAAAGGCATCCATATTTATTTTTCATTATTAAAAAAGAGTAAACATTTCTAATGATTTAATTCACCCGCTCAGTTCATCCTAATGTAACTAAACCCACACATATAAACTGTTACGACAAAAACTCTATAAAATGTCCATCACCTGGTATTATTTAATGCTATACATCTAAACACGGAGTCTTGATACAAGCTTTTGTAAACAAACATCCATTGTCGAAGGGATAATCTCCACACCCCCCCGCACCGCCCCCCAAACCTGTTCAGTGATATTGACCTAATGCCCCGTTTCCGGACACTCACAGCTGTTATCAAGATATTATCTGAAAATTGGAAATTTGAATATTTTGACGTTTACGACATTAATTGTTATTCATGTCTCATCAATGACGAAAATAGGGTGCCCCTCGGGGAAACCCGTCAAACATCTGTGATAACACAAGTGTATTGTTGACAGGGATGTGAAGCTCAACGTGTTGGAGCGCGTGCCCGAGCTGCACGAGTGCGGTGAACTGCGCATGCTGTGAGTATGTCCGACAGTAAAACATTCGCCACCTACATCTGGTTCCGGTTCCAATGCGCCTCGCTAAATAAATAGATCAAAGCGGCTATTTTTACTTATCCCTAGCAACGTGATATTTTGGACGACGTTCCTTTGAACTAAACGCGACGTTGACAAACGCATAATATGTAGATTAATGTAGCTAATATATATACCTTACTTTCTGGAGACGAATTTATGAATAAATATTTTTATTAATTCTTATAGTTTAGAACTTGGAGTTTCGTGTTTATCGAATGTATAAACACATAATAAATGTTATACATTATTCACTTTGAAAATAAACACATTTGATTGTCTGTGTCGATTCTAAAAGCTGTAATTCTAAGGTGACATGAAGATGACACATGAATGTAACAGAGACGTGACATCATTAGAAAGGAAAAAAACCTGTACTTATTACAATCGAACTAATTGATACACCATTGTACACTTGTTTCAAAGAGTTCTACAATAGTAATCTGATCTGACCTGTTAGAACCTACATTATACTAAACTTCTTTGAGCTTTTTTGCTACCAGTCTGAAGTAATACTGATGTATTAAACGTCCCTGAATACTTTTTACTAAACGTAAGCGGGTTGTTCTATCACCTAGACTTTAGTGGCCTTAATAAAAATATCATCAACAGCCTTTGATAGTCCACTGCTGGAAATATGAGAAAAAAAATTACTTCACAATAAGGGTTGACTGCTCTTATTGCATGTGTGCGATCCCTTGAAGATATAAATATACAAAGCTTCAAAAGAGACGCAATCGGAAATGACGGTCAATTATCATTTAAGTCCCAGGTTTCGTTTGCTCGTTTACCCCTTACATCTTCAACAAAGATTTAAATTAATATGAACAATTAAATCATGATTTTTGGTCATTAACAAGTATAGAAAACCATCCTGGAGCTGCCAATATATTGTTATATTACACGACAAAAATAATTTTCACAAATACAAACTTATATTTTGAGGTTAAAAATTGACTTTTGGCGTAAATCTTGGAGGATCCATTCCCGAGATAGACGAACTGTCTGCACACAAACAAATATATTTGATGACGAGATCCTGGCACTTATCCGTTTTATTTTATTGTTCATGTATGTCCAGGGATCTGTCCGGTAACCAGATCGCCTTCATCGACGGCGAGTCTCTTCGAGGCCTGCGCCGGTTGCACGACCTGATGCTGGAGCGCAATCGACTCCGACACGTGCCCTCCGACACCTTCGTCCACACGCCGGACTTGCAAGTACTGTAAGTATTATACGGTAGCCCACGTAGGTATCACAATTGTACAGACGTACAGACGCTATTTGGAATCTTTGTTTACTTCGTAATCATTAAAAACATTGAGCATTAGTTAAGTGAGAGTATCGGATACACGCAGTTCATTATCTACTAGATGTTAGGGCTTATCGAAAGATCAAATCACACTTTGATTAGTAACAAAAGGTAGTAAAGGACGAACGTGCTATGAATTGAGGCAGCAGGCCGGCGCGGACTCGCTGACCCACATCGGGCGACCTTCGCGGATTACATGGTAAGCTCGGAGCCGTAGGCTTTACGCACAAGGTCGCCACATCTGGCTACCTGCGGCCGCCGCACACCACCACCCACCTACGCACACTTAACGTGCACACCGAACGAGTGGATACACTCCACGTCACGATAGCCTTGAACTTTGTCAACTATACCACAACTAGTTCAAAATTCAATTACTAACTTTTAAACTTTCGTGTTTCAGAATATGTAATCTTATTAGGAAATTGATGCGATCACTAGGTATTGCATACTTTTGGATTTTCTGCTGTAATGTTATACATATATTCAATTATTTTAACATCAAAGTAATAGAGATTTGTACTTAAGGAATAGAATAATACGAGAGTGACGCCCGTGTTTGAACACAGCTTTTAATCGGATGTACTCTGTTTGCCTTCCCATCCTAGTTTGATTACTAACAGCAATTGCTACGCTGCAGCAGTCTCACGAATATAAGAGGTGTTTTACAAAGTAGAGAGATTTAAAAAGCTTAAGGTTGTTCAACGAGGCAGGACGTATTCATTTAAATCATCGTTTGCTTCTTTTATTTTATGCTACAGGGCTCACTACTGTCTCGTCTCAATCACTGTTTACTAAATAACAAACTCTTAGGTCAAACGTGTCATTGGGATATGGCCATATGTATTTACTGTCATATAAATACATGTGTATTGTAAAGACATTTCACAAATGATTGTTCATCCTCAAAGAAATCAATATTCTGTGCAATTTATTGTAAAAGCTATATCACCATATAAGTCAAATACATAACATACGATATTTCGCAAATCAGAATCATTAATTAGTAATTCCATAGGAATATTGACTTTAATTTTAGAGGGGTCGTACTTTACGGTAACAGTCAGCTCTAGTCTGTAATGTGTACGGACCCTAATATACTCCAGCTATTGCCAATCCATTAACTTCAATATCCTTCCCTTCTGTCCGTGTATCTTTCCTTTACGATATACTCCAAGTTTAATTTCTGCGCAATTGACTCCATAAGGCTTGCCCCTTAATTACGTGAGTGGGTCAATTGATGTCGCATATTGTACGCCACTGCCTACCCTTTCGTGAGTGCACGTGTTAATGTATCAGTGGGACTATGGCTCACACTTGCGGATAAAGTAGTATAAACATTTTACTTCGTAAGAGTAGAATAAATAATGACAGTGATTAAAAACCGCATTTACGTTCTAAATTAGACAGGAGGAGTTAAGTTTCTAAACGAGTAAATGTATACCATAAATTATCTTCGTGTCCGTGTTACACTACAAGTGCTTGGAGATGAATAATAGTTTGTTTTAGCAAAGTTGTATGGCGTGTGCTATCAATCACGGCGTTCGGTACAGTTATAGATGCAGCTGGTGGTGGAGTGACGCAACCAGTAATAGCGGCGGCACGACTTGTACTGACTGTGGGGTCATGTCTCGACTCCACTAATTACTCACTGCACATTTCAAGAGCATTTCGCAAACAACCTGTTATTTATGTACAAACGATAATAGTTATTTAACCTCGGCAATTAGTGCTCCTTGTTGATTTGAATATCTCTGCGACACTTTCGATACGACGAACTCAGATATGACTCCTTCTACCAAACCACGCAAGGGAAACAAGATGATATTAGGTATTTAATTATTCATTAGGGAACAAAAACTATGTTTTTTTAGCCGTGTACACACAATGTAATATTCTCGCTTGGGCCATTTCGAGCAATTATGTGTTTAAGCAAACCGTCGTGACCCGATATTGGATTTGTCAAATTTTCCTTGTAGCGTGTTTTTTTAACATAGACGCCGCTCCCTATAGCAAGCTCTAATATCCTCTAGCAATAGTTCCCTCGATGTCGATCCTTTAAAAGTTACAGCAGGTGTAGTTTATTTCATAAACACCGTGGTTTTAACGGTTTATAATCTTATAATATGTAATAGGCACATATTATAAGTATATTTATTTATTTAAGATCATCAACCTGGTTCTGAAGATACGGTTAAAACATTGATTCAAACTAATACCACCCAGTGCTATCAAAAATAGACTCATTGTACATGCAATTTATTGTAATCGTGTATATAAATTGTATGCATACTTGTACGAAAACTATTAAACAAGAAAACAAAACATCTCTTTTCTTAAAGAAACTACAGCTTAAAGGAAAATAAAGCGTTACCAAAATTACCTACTGACTAACTGAACAAATAATCAACTTTACAATTCGTGCTTATTTATAAAACAAATTTCTATTATAATATTATACTATTATATATTATAATAATCTATTTTTATCGGTTTCAAGAAACGGAGGTTCTCAAAAATCGAGTGAATGTTTTTTTATGTATGTTATCATCTTAAGGTTAGCCTCATTAAAAGAAGGATAAAAAATGAGACTTGACTTGACTATGCTTCGTCACATATGGGCCACTTCGACCGCAGCGATACCAGAGCCTCACAGAAAACCGGAGTTGGGCTTTCATTTGACTGAGTAAGTGGGATTACCGGAGCCTAACCCCTCACCTTCACCATCTAATTCTGGCGGGGCACAGATGCAGGTCTATCTATGGGCGGTTACAGTAACTTACTATCAGGTGACTTCTTTGCTCATTGTATTAAAAAATTATCATGATTTAGACATATTGCTAGATACTCTTTATACATGAAATATGAGAAATATGCTCTAGGAATAGCTGTGGCTGCCGAATCATTCTGGTTCCTTATTTAGCACAGCAGAAGAATACTCCGTTTTGTACCAACTTCGTGATATTTTGTATAAAGCTTCCTTTACCGTTATTCTGAAAAGTAAATTCAATACACAAAAGACCCTCGTCATATCTACCTCTATACAAATCTCTTCTCAAATGCCAACTTGAATATGTCACTGTTATTTGTAATCCTTTTTCCGTCAAGTATAAGGACAGTGTAGAAATGATACAGCGAAAATTTGACGTTCACTGCAGTATAAATGCTTTCGCTCAAGGTTTTCATACATTGCTCTTTTGGTCACATTTTCTTTATTTACAATACATGAGAAAATATTGCTCTTGTATAATTTATTTAATTTGTTCTTATACAGTATTTGTCACAACCTTTATGATTGTGATCAGCTTGTTAACCTATTTTTATCTGTTATCAAAAAAAAGGAAGCTCACTATTCGACTCTATGTGTTTATTATGTTTGTTACCTTAAAAACCTCGTACCGAGGAAAATTCTTCTTTCGCTTGAAAGAATAATAGCTTTCCCTTACAGTACATTTAAACTTCAACACATAATTTCATTCCTTAGGGTGAAAATCTGTGATTGGAGTTTCTTTTAAATAATTAGCTTGTTTATGTTGCACTGGTTTTAGATATCTCTGAGATGAAAATGTTAATACACTACATTGTTAATTTGATTCGAACCAATTGATTGCTAGCTATAAGTTGTAGGTGCACTTGTTTATAATAAAATATATATTGGAGGTTACGGTGTTTGGTTTACATTTAGTTAAAAAATCTTTAAGACTCTGCCAACCTAGACATATTGTAAAATTGATTATTTCCATAAAAAAATTATAACAGTTTATTATTTTAAATTCCTAAGGATAAAATAAATTTATTAAGTTGAGAAACAGAAATTAATTTAAAAGTTTTTAGAAACAGATATCCAAGATATAAGTTCAAGAACTTAACACAACTTTTGATGTAATTAATAAAGGGTATCAAACTGAAGGCGCACGAAATCTTTTAAAAGCAATTGAAGCATAGATAAACAATTGTACAAGAGCGCAAATAAAGTAATTTTGATATGTCCAAGGATTTAAACACGAACACGTCCTAAACAAACACCGATTTATGATCATTCACGTTTTACCGCAAACTGTTATAGATTTGGCGAAATGCTTAAATATCCACTCAATGATATAAACTCGTCTACTAATACTCTGACTATTCTGTTATTTTCTTTCAGATAGTTGATTGAGAACGTAACTGTGTCAGATTTTGTTAATTAAAAGTTCTGTTAGGATATAGATTAGTCATCCATTTCATTTGATTGATTCGTCGCAGGGGGGCATCGAACCTACGACCTCAAGCTTAGTAAGTCCGTCCGTCGTCAAGTGTTTCTATTGTGTACTAGCTATTTCCTGCGACCTCGCTCCCTTTAATTTTTTTATTTCGTGTAACTAACTTTGAAAATGACGAACTCTTATACAACCGTTCATCCCTTATTTAACCCCACTCCCGGGGTTAAATTTCTAATAATTCCTTTCTAATGAGTGCTTACAGCATGATTACCATCAGCTAGCGTCAGTAGCCCCAGTGGCTTAGCCTCAGCGTTGAGAAATCAGTCAGTCAGTTCGGTCAAGTAATATTATATGTATAGATTAAAAATAGTGAATAACTATTTCTAAAACGGCATATAAAGCCTGCCTTAATAGCCTGTATTATTTTTTAAGTAGTTCATCTATCATTATGGACAGTTTAAAGGATATTACGAGTATTATTTACAATAAACATATTGAAAATATAACTTAAAGTTTGAATAAGGACTAATGAACAAATGAAAGATGATATAAACTCACTATACAGATTGTTCTCTCGAGTATTTTGTAATATCCATCAATATAATCAATTCTTATTCACAATGTATTACAAGTGGGTAATTAAAAAAGGTTCAAAGTTTTAGGCTAAAATTAATTCTAAAATTTAAAACCACCATTAAAACTTTGATTGTTTCGATCCAAACTTCATCTGAAATAAAATCCATTGTTGTTCGTTAATCGGTAACTTTTTCGTAAAAATTGTATATCTTATCAAACTGTTAAGAAGATAAATTGTTTAGATACTCCCTAAAGCGTCTGTTTTGTTTTGGTACCTACCAGAACGTTCTAAAATAATTTATATTATAATCCCGCTTAGAATTAGCGAAAATTATGATAAAATGATATCTACTTACTCTTACTTACTGCCACCGTCTCTTAATAATTGCACGAGCTACTTTTTACTTTTTTATAGGTATACTTAGATCAGACCCGAAAACCTTTTTAGTGTATGAAGATTCCTTTCTGTACACTATTTCTACACCTTGATTTATTCCGTGTCCCTCGGTCTCCAATTGGATTGAGCGCTACAGTTTTTTACCTTCCGCAAGAGTTCGATACTTCTTATTTGTAGTTTGTGACGCTACAATAATATCTACGAGTAACTAGGTCACCCGGCAATCCTACGATTTCCAATATTATTATTAGTTGCAGTGATTTCCCAGTACACTGCCCACATGTACACCTGCACACGTCGCACCTCGCCTGATAGTTAGCAGTTATAAGACTATGATTATTGTTTGTAAGTATGATTGAGGTGGTACTTGATTCATAATTGTTCAGAATAATGACATATCGCAGTATAGCAATTTTTACTGCGTGTCCCTGATAGCAAACAGAAGCAGGAAACTGTAGCTGTAGCGACAAGGTGTCCTTTTGTTGTGAGCCTTTCAAATTGTAGCCAGTACGAAAATGCCAGTAGGAAAACTTAAATTTGCTATTGTACAACTAAATGTTGATAGCTCCATAGATTTTGCAAGAAAAGTAAAAACAACTCGCGTTGTGTTCGCAGCCCATGCTGTTATTTTTTACATCCTATTTATTCTTTGACGTCAGTACTACAACGTTGAATGTCAAACTGTTTTACTATTGGCTATAAAATGTGCGGCCGCAGCAATCGGCACAATAAGATCAGGTAGTGACTCCATCCACCCATACTCTGTAACGTATCGTAAAAACTAAGTTTATGTCCCCACAGACGACATGGGGAAGAGGCGTCCTTGCGGCGGCACGAAATAGGCTATTCCACAACGGAGCCATTCAATATCCGCCACTCCGCTCTGCTAATTGTCGGGGGTAGGGGAGCCCTGTTCCTGCGGTGGCTCGACATTTGCATAATAGGTTTATAAGTGCCTAAAGGTCGATCTTTCTCTTTATTGATTTGAATACGACCCTTCGAATATTGGGTGTTTTGTAACTCTTTTTCTGTTTTGATGAGTCAAGTTTGTGTATAAAAAGTCTATTCTCTACTATTGGTAAATGTTAGTAAATATACCAGTAGGAATGTATGTATCAGTAGGAGTTCTTATGGTGATGTATTGGGGAGAGTGTTAAGGCGACATATTCTCTAATGAAATATCCTTTTTAATCAATACACTGAATAAAAGGCGAATAGGCTGAGATAATTTAGATACACCGAGACGTTAATCTTATTATCTCATATATTGGACGGGACTGTTGGTCTAGTGGTTGGTGACCGTGATTGCTATACCAGAGGTCGTTGATTCGATTCCCACTCAGAACAAAAAATTGTGTGATGATGAAGTTTAGTGAGTATATTTGTTAAAAAGTGAAGGGTATGAGTGGTTTATTAGAGATATCTTAAAAAGAGCTACAACAATACCTGCAGTTTAATTTAAAAAAAGTTTTACTTCTTTTGCGAAATTTGAAAACAGATTTATAGTTTTCGTGCACAGAAGCATTACTTTTTAGTCCCTGTTTAGGTACAAATGTGTTTAATATTGCGACGGCCTTGTTGCTCCACTCCCCTATGATGACCTGGCGGAGTTGGGATTTCCGGTCATCAATTTCTCGAATCTCGAGTCTTCAGTACCTGATAACAGTTATAAATATTACAAGCATAATGTTTCCCAAACACTCCCTCCTTTTACTACATTTATCGAATACTAAGTTTGTTGAAATAAATTTCAATGCCATTTCGACTCGTTTTTGGAACAAGGCCTTTGACAATTGATAACAGTTTCACAAAGCACCGAACTCATAACGCGAACTTCCCGAAACTCGTCATGTAATAGTCGTATCTAAACCGCTTGATAAAAGCTCATTTGTGGTATTGTTGTAAAGTTCATAACATAAAAGCGAACGGTATTCAGCCAAATTTACCTTTTATGTAGATGCTTTTTCGTTGTGTAATGTTTTACCCTGATAAGGTATAAAACCACTATGGAAAACTCGTTGAAAACGTTTTCCAGAACGTAGCATCCTGTTATTCAGAAAATCATATGGTCCAGTCAATTTAGACATCCGAGGTTACAAAATTTTTTCGTCTAATTTGACCGGACTAATAGCTGTTAGAAAATGTTTATTGCTACATGGTTTAAACAATGTTCATAACGCCCAAGCACTTAAACAGTTTCAGTTTTACCAACTTTTAGTTTATGAATAGTCTGTCTTACTCATGCAGTCAGGTCTACATATCTATGGAAGAAAATTGAACCGTTTAATATATCTCATCATCATCACTATCTGTCATGAGTACTGCATATTCTATTATTACAAATTTTACTTTAAACTTGACCTGCGCACGTTAAAAGCATTTCGCTTCTTACTATGTACGAAGAACGATTATAATCCCAAGGGTGTGCTGCTCCGGGGCGAGCCCACCTTAAGCTTTGTAAATTTAATCACCAAGAAAAAAAATATAAAATATATATATACTTAATTGTAGCTCAATAAAAAAAATGTACATCTATAGTTTCGTTGTAAAATTGTGTTGATATAACAAACGATTATACAAGATGTCTCAAAAGACAATTTATATTTAGTAGATCGAATAAAAAAAAGTAAGCAGTGTATCGAAAAAATGTTTACTAATTATTAAAGTACACAATTTGGGCATTTATTTCTTAAAAATAATATCCTCCAAATGTAGACCCGTCGCGTTCGCGGCACTCATTTAATCGAACAGTAAAATTACTTATGACGGCTCGGCAGGTGGACTCAGTGATGGCTGCCATTTCGTGACGGATATTTTCTTTCAAATGCGCCAGGGAAGTCGGTTTATTCGCATAAACTTTAGATTTAAGATAACCCCATAGGAAAAAGTCCATAGGGGAGGAGGCCAATTTATTTCACCTCTCCTGGAGATCAATTTTCCTTAGAGAATTTCACGAACTCGTGGCAGAGACGTATTGGACGTGTGTGACGTTGCTCCGTCCTCCTGGAACCATGTTCTTTAGTTATGGCCAGGAAAGTTTTGCAGTTCAGGCGCCAAGAAGTCGTTTAACATCTCCACATAACGCTCTGAATTCACTGTAACTGCACGCCCCCTTTCGTCTTCAAAAAAGTAAGAGCCGATAATTCCTCGCGCCGACATCGCAGCCCATACTTTCACTTTAGGCGAATGAAGGGGTTTCTGATGTTTGCGTTTCGGATTCATTGCACTCCAGTAGCGGCAATTCTGCTTATTTACGTGTCCATTAACATGAAAATGAGCTTCATCCGAAAACAAGATGTTGGTAAACGTTGAAAAGCGCTCAATCGCCTGATTTACGAAGTCAAGCCTCTGACTGGCATCTTGGGGCTTTAATTCTTGCACCAATTGAATTTTGTAGGGGTGCAGCTTTAGGTCTTTTGTGCGGTGTAATGATGATCTATGCACATTTAAAGCACTTGCGCGCTTCCGAATTGAAAGGTTCGGGTCGTCACGAACAGACTGATTAACACTCTCCACGTTTTCTACCGTTCTTGATGACCTTGATCGCCCGGATTTTGGTTTTTCCAGCGTTGTACCGGTCTCTTCAAACTTTTTGACCCATTTTCGAATAAGAGGAATGCTTGGCGCATCATTTAAATGGCGAAAACCTCGAACACTACAGAACCTTCTACGCGCTACAGTCGCCGAATCACCGTTCTTGTAAAACTCTCGCACGCACAACACCATAGCAACTGAATTCCCAAGAGCCAGGCTACCGATTGACATAACCCCCGCGCCCCTCGGACTCGTTGCGTTCACGCACTAAGCTAAATAAATATAAACTTTCTTTTGAGACACCTTGTATATCATCCTCTGGAGGGTTGACGTCAGAGAGACAGCCAACTACTACTAACCATTTCGTAAAGAGATGAGAACTGTGAAAGAGGATAAAGCTGAAAAGGGGGTAAGAAGTGATTTGTCGAGAGATAAATGAGAATGGAAGAAAACTCAATGCGCTGATCCCAAATAAATTTGCGAAATGGCAAAAATGATGATGATCACCCTCTCTATATTGTATCTACATTTTTCAGAATATGTAACAATAAATAATTCGACACATCTCACACACCGTGTAATCCGATGCTAGGCAGAGCTTGCTGCTTTTATGTTTCTCATTACATACGTCATCAATCATCATCATCAACAGCCTTTAACAGTCCACTGCTGGACATAGGCCTCTCCTTAGAAAGGAGGTTTTGGCCTACTATACCACGCTGGCCACAGGGGTTGGTATAGGGTTTGTGTCAAGTTTTCCTTCTCTCTGCAGTGCTGGTGTCCTGCGTATTTACACATACATTTACATTTTATTTTATTACATACGTACTATACATAAATTACACCCAGACATAGAACAAACGATCGGTCATCATACAAATATTTGTCCCAGGTGAGAATTAAACCCACGACCTCAGGCTTAAGTTCACAGTTCTCCAGCTCCAGTGGTTGGTGATACAGCCAAATATTTCAGGTTGTTTTAAATCTACTGTAAACTCACCGCCTGCATTTATCTAGTACATAATTGACGACGGCAAGTAATTGTAAGCTTCCGACATTCTTATTGCAGGAACTTGGAGGACAACCTGATTGAACACATCGACATGGAAGCCTTCGTGCCCATCTCTAAGTTAGAAGACCTGTTAGTTATTTTATTTATATACAATATTAATTAGTTATAAAGTACATACAATAAAAATGGTTAAAACTATTTAATTTCTTTTGTCAACCTTATTTTTAACTAGTACCGTGCATAGATTATAGCAAAAAAATATATTATTAATTCTAACATTATTTTTTTAGTGGCATTTGCAATAAATCTGATAACAATCCAACATACATGAATAATACAAATCGCAAGATGTTATTTTATATTTTTGTGTGTATATAGGAACGTAGGCAATAATGTGTTCGGGTGGCTACCAGCGGCTGGCCTGCAGCGGTTGCTGCATCTGAAGGCGCACAACAATCCCCACTTGCGGCACTTCCATCCTCCGGAGACGTTTCCCAGGATACAGGTACTGACACTCTTCTTCAGTGAAACAGATTCGGCACCACGGAATAGAGTAGCAAGGCTAAGATAAGAGCACACATAATATTAAAGGGGAAATAGTCTTACGGAGTACTTCAGTGAGTTTGTGTCGAAACACCGAGTTAAATGCTGTAAAATGTGTTGTGAGTACGGGGGCTCGTAGGAGATCCACGGACGAATACATAACACGAAGTATTATTGCCGCTAAGTATTAGCTTACCTTCAGATGGATCACGTACTTATTAATCACTTTATTTGAAGGGTACTTTATCTAACTTTCTGATTTGTCCGCGCAGACGCTGGTACTATCGTACGCGTACCACTGCTGCGAATTTTTGCCGCTGATGGAGGGCGATGCCGAGCCCGACGTGACAGAGAGCGATTTGCCGAGTGACATAGTCATTCTGCCTCCTCCAAGCATCGACGCTGCTGCTTTAGCCAACACTTCTGATCTCTGGTCTCACTATCGTAAGTGTAGTCTAAATATTTTACCATTTTCTCCCATGACAGAAGAGAGACAACAACACACGTTAAATTAAATAAAACAATAATAATAACTTCTGCCAGAGAGCTCACTATTTAGATAACCCCTACTTGAGTGCATTTCGCTACGTTTATTGTACAGTTAACTTGTCCGAGCTGATGGGCGCAAGCGGAAGTGGCCTGCAAGCTGTTCTAGACGGTTGGGCAGGCGCTGGAGCTGTTGAACTTAGCGAGGACGGAGTTTCACCGGAACCACGTCGAGTGCAGTGCCTGCCACTGCCTGGGCCGTTCCTCCCGTGCGTGGACCTCTTCGACTGGTGGACGCTCCGTTGCGGCGTATGGGCTGTGTTCTTGTTAGCGCTTCTGGGCAACGGCACTGTCGTATTTGTACTCGTGTGCAGTCGAAGTCGCATCGACGTGCCGCGCTTTCTCGTCACCAACCTCGCCGCAGCCGATTTCTTTATGGGCATTTATTTAGGTATAAACTTGTTTATATCATAAAAAAATTATTAAGACTTCATGCGTAGATTTTATTTGTTCATTACTGAATATATTTCTCACAGGTTTCCTGGCCGTAGTGGATGCAGGAACTCTCGGCGAATTTCGTACCCACGCAATCGCATGGCAGATGTCGAGTGGTTGCAAGCTGGCAGGATTTCTAGGTGTACTGTCATCCGAGTTATCCGTGTATACCCTCGCAGTCATCACACTAGAGAGAAACTACGCTATCACTCACGCAATGCACCTGAACAAGCGCCTATCTCTGCGTCACGCGGCGGTGGTCATGGCGGCCGGTTGGGCGTTCTCCCTGTTGGCGGCAACTTTGCCGCTCTTGGGCGTGTCCGACTACCGCAAGTTCGCGGTGTGTCTGCCCTTCGAGACAGAGACCCCTGTAGATCTCGGTTACGTGGTCGCTCTACTCGCCATCAACGGCATCGCATTCCTCGTACTCCTGGGCTGCTACCTGAAGATGTACTGCGCCATCCGCGGCTCGCAGGCGTGGAACTCTAATGACTCGCGTATAGCCAAGCGCATGGCTCTGCTGGTGTTTACAGACTTCCTGTGCTGGTCACCCATCGCGTTTTTTGCGTTGACGGCGGCTTTCGGTGCGCAGCTCGTGTCACTCGAGGAGGCGAAGGTGTTCACCGTGTTCGTGTTGCCGCTTAATTCATGCTGTAATCCATTTCTGTATGCGATCCTCACAAAACAGTTTAAAAAAGATTGCGCGCTCGTGTGCAAGGCCATCGAGGAATCGCGAGTGACGCGCGGTATCGGCCGCTGCAGACACTCTTCCAACTTCAGTAACAGACAGACGCCCGCCAACACTAACAGCTTGGCGGAGCGCTCGTCGCGCGGACAGCATGGCGCGGCGTGCGCCTGCCGCCGCTTGCTGCCGCCCGGAAGCGGGACCAGCGGCCCCGAGCGCTCCGAGAGCGAACGAGTTCCGGCCAGCGGGGAGCGCCTGCTGCGCTGGCTGCGCGCCTGCGGGCGCCGCTCCACCCCCGCCCCGCAGCCCGCTCCGCGTACTCCGGCGACGGCGCCGGCTCGCGCCGGCTCCGTCTCCTCATCAGTAGAGTTCTCGTCGTCTCGTTCGGACTCGTGGCGAGCATACGGCCGCCCGCCACCGCCTCCACGTCGCGCAGCATCGTGGCTGGTGGCGCGCAAGACTTCGCAGGACTCGAACTTGTCTTCGTCGCGCAACGACTCGTCTGGCTCCAACGCGACCGCATCCACCGGCACTTGGCGCACGTCGCGTTCCGGTGGCAGCGCCACCGGTGCCGGGGGCGGGCCCCCGGTGGCAGGAGCGGGAGGCCCGGTCCGGCCGCGGCTCACCCGACAGCCGGCCATCACCGCCGACGAGCCGCCCGGCTCACCGGCGGGGGCGTTGGCGGCGAGGCACCTGCACACCATTCCCTCGGCGGCGGAGACGGAGGTGCAGCCCGACGAGGAGCCTCGATGAACGCCCGCCCAAGACTGAGGCACCGTCCATAGCGCACCGTTCGGTGATACCATGCGCTCCCAGACAACCAGACAAATAAATTAATTATGGCATAGTCTATTAAATAATATTTTGTACAGTATTACGGAGACCGCGACGCGGGTACGAGTGTCCTAGCTACGAAATAAAGTATTATGACAAAATAATTAATTATTTATTTAGGAAATTTTTACATAAGTATTTATGAGTCGATTATATTTACATAAGCGATATGAAGTATTCCGACCCGCATCGGCTCGCTAGTACTCTATGCCGCGGCCGACATAGTCATAGTGAAATTATTAATACAAACGAGTATTATACAATAAGTTAACGCTTAAGAACAAACTACAATTAAGTAAGAGTCGTTACAAAAATTAGGTTTTGTATGTTGTTAAAACAAATTGCCCTAGGCCCTAGAGTAGTGACAGGGGAGCCACGTCGCTCAACGAGTGCCAATTACCTACACTTATGTGTTATATGGACACAGTACTGTTATGTCTATTGTAAGTACACACGTGAAGCCTAAGACTCCTGATTATAGTACATGAGTATTGATTAAGTAATTCGCGTTAAGAACTCTATCGCAGCGACAACTGCAACTTTCGAAATGTTTATTTATATATACTTACAGCAAGTTCAAAGACAGTATAAACGAATGATGTATATTCCTATAGTACAAGGCGTGAGCCGCGCCATCCATTTTGATAACATATATTCTTAAAATAGAGTAAATTGTAAACGGTATAAATGCAAACAGGAACTGGACAGGCTGGAGTCTTGTACAGACAAATGAGTTGTTGATAATTTTATATTAATGTTTTGGTTAATTATTTATTATAAGATAATATTTATACGAAGGTTAGGACGTGTATATACATAGTTATATAGTTGTGTCTATTTATTGATGTGTCCGAGTGACGCGTGGTTGAGAGTGCTATTTATTTTATTGTACGATAATTATACGAGAATTGTCACTCCTGCCTTTTATTTTAATTCCAAAATGTTCGAATTAAATTAAGATCCAATTTATAAAGTCCGCTTCACAATATTTCCTTAAAAAATATTGTCCAGATCTACGAACTTGACCGCCTGATCCGACGTTTGAAGATCCACGAAAGTTTTGTACAATTAATTTTCCACAACGTGGCAATAGACGGTCAGCCAAAGAGCGTCCTCAGCAGCTCGTGTCAGCAATGAAGTGTCAGATATAGGTGCTCGTCACGTGTCGTGTTCAAGTGTCAGTAGCAGGGTCGCGGCGGTGCAGGGCGGTGGGCTCACTGCCGGCGCGAGCCAGGGCGCCCGCTGCAGGAGGGTGAGGGGAGGGCGGGGGTGACTCGTGCTCCCGCTCCCGCAACACCTCGCGCTTATGGTCACGCCGGCGCCGGAACTCTATGAACTGTCTACCGAGCCGCTCCTCCAGCACGTCCGGGCGTCTCTTGGCGCCCACGGAGGAGCCTGCGCAGCGCTCTTCGTACGCTTCAACTTCACACGCTTCTTCGTCCACCTCCTGAAAATACATACATAAATATTATTATAGACTTACAGATGGACTGACTTCATAGGAAATTATGTTCAGTGCACTAATCTGACCAATTGCGGCGTATCCTCATTTGATGTTCTACATGCACAGGGATCGCAAAAGGCGAGTTTAGTTTCGGAACTTAGAATTAGATGATAGGATAAACCTATACATAACAGCGAGCATACGAGTAAAACTTAAAAAGTATTACAATTTGGCAATTAAAAAAGCATCTAACTCACAGATTATGTAATGCAATATGAATCACCAGCTAGGTTCATCAATTGAATTAATCTATTTTTATGCCTCTCATTATTTATTTTCGAATTTCTTGACTTGTCTGTGGGAGACTTTTACTTTTGATATAGTAATTAATCAACTCGTCTACGTCAAAGGAACTCTTACCAAAATTTTTTTGTGTGATGATAGACGATTGTGTACACAACTATACCGATCAGCGTTTATGAACGGTTACGTCATTTGTCATTGCAAAAAAAAGAGTTTCCCCAATTTTATTTGCGGTCAGCGCAATGTTTATCTTTGCAAATGGTAATGGCTGGTTCTGTTACAGCCGGCCGCCGGCCCGAAATCAGTCCTTTTCGGAATTGTAAACGTTTTAAGACAAGACAAAGATAAATTAACGGGTTAAAGGGGAAAAGAAAATAGATAGGACGAGGGAGATAGGGTAAGGGAAATAGTCACTGGGGGAACGGGACGAAGAAAAGGTCCTCCAGACTTGACAACATATTCAAATCATGAATGACGACTATACCTAGGTACTCCTTGAAGAAAATTCCTATCCATAACACTATAAAATTATGTACACATCTACTGACAGCCATTTCGGACGGTTTAGATGGCGTCGAAAACTTATGACTCATTGAAATCAGTTTATATCAGTTCCTGTGCTCATTTCAGTAAACAAAATCTGTTTAGTTAAAAACGATTTACGACTTAAGACACACTAAAAGAGGTATATTTCAGAGTCAAAGAGTCAACATTGGTTTTTTTTTGACTAAATATGAGAACTTTTAAATTGCCTTTGATTTCCGCATATCATTATATTAGCAATAAGTTTACTATACCCATAAATGAAAAATAAAATAAAATAATCTCAAATCAAATTAAACAACACAATTAGCACAGTTTTGTGTTATAGAATATTTCAGAAATAACTTCAACAGAAGTACCTATTGGAAAGAAACTTCTGGACGTAACACAGATAAACTTTAAATTCCTAACATATTTAATTAGACGGAAATTGTACTCAGTGGAAATATTACAAACCAATTTCCCTCCTCAGAAGATGGGAGATACGGGATCGGAGGAGGAGAAGAAAAAATAAGAGACTTAATGTTTCTTAAACGTTACTTGTATACGTCACTAGTGATGTTATGTCTAGAATCTATACTTTTTGAATACCTAATAAAAAGTTCGAACTTTTTGGTACCATATTCATTGACACAGACAGTGAATTGGATCTTAAAGAATGGTGTGTCGTGGCTACTGTCAATTAATTGGAGATGAAAGACATTACTTATTTTACCATCTTCTATATTTATTTTTGTGACAAAGAGTAGCTTATGTTCTTCTACAAGGTCTTGTTTATCGATAAACCAAAGTAGATCATATTTGCATAACATACCTAATTAAATTATGGGCAGTTACACGTTTTGAGTTTCATCATTCCTCTCAAGAAAAACTGTGCTGAATTTGAAAGAAAGAAAGCCTGTAGCCTGTACCCTCATATTGTAGTGTTGTAGATACCTTAATTTCAGCAAAAGTGACCGGTGTAGTGCGGTGACGTTGGCGTGGCTCGGTCCTGCGCAAGCGGCGGCCTCGCGCCAATGCTGACGCCGTTGCCGGGTACACTGTGTCCATCGTTACTCTCTGGGGATATTTTTATAGAAACTAGTATTAATTTTCTTAAGAAATAATAACCCACTTCCAAACCCTCTCTGGACGAAATTTGTTTAAAAATTAATTTACAACTATAAATGAGATCCTGGTAGTATTTGCACATCAAGTTAGACAACTAAAACAAAATTAGCGAAGCCGTTTACAACTTATAGCCTCCATGTCTATATTATCAATTCAACTTGAATTGAAAACCTTTATTTTTTAGAAGCATCAAAGTCATCTTATTCATTCTTTGATTTTTAATCTGTTGCAGTTCCTTCTTTTCGTTCTCAGAAGCCTCTTGTTTCTTTTCAACCACTTCATCTATGTAAAGTAAGTAGCCAGCTTGATCCTGGCTACTTACTTTGAACGTTGTTCAGTGAAATGGTATATAATGCTTACTTCACTCTGGATACACCGCCTTAATAGGTAAATCATGTTTTTTTTTCAAAGTTACCGAAATAATCGAAGATTGCGAGCGATATTACAATGTAAGTATTATTTACTTCCCTGGTTTTGACATACCCTAATACAAATCTTTTATTTTTACTTGTGGAGACCCCCCGGGCCGTCATTGGGCAAAAGTCGCCCCAGGGCAGAAGGGCAGGGCAGGGCCTCCGTCTTATCCAGGGCCACCTGTAAGCCTAGCTCCTCAATGCGACCGACGACCAGAGAGACTCCCCTGGTGGCCAGGCGCGCCGCCTCTTGAAAGTCCGCCTCCCGGGCCGTGACCAAAGTGTCATCGGCGTAACAAATTGCACCCAGCCCGGGGAGGGGGATTGGTGGGGGGGGGGGGGGGAATCAGCTCTAAGGCCCTAGTTCCACCCTACCCTATGTTCCACAGGAGGGGTCCAAGAACAGACCCCTGTGGAACACCGCACGACATGGGCTGACACCTCAAATTACCATCTCAGTCCTCGCAATCCTGCCTAGCCCCTTGCTTAGGGTGATTTTTTTCAAGCCCACATCAATCTCTATGTTCATTGAGTAATAATAAAAAATATTAAGGCAAATAACTATAAAGTAAAATTTGCACCATATAAAGCACTTTTGTTTTTTTTCGGTTTCTGCATGTTGTGCCTAGATTTAGACATAAAATATACAGTTTTGGTCTCAGTATCGATTGTAGTGCCTCCAAAAAAATTTTTTAAAATATCTTAAATATGTGTCGATGCATAAAAAAGTCATCTAAATACTGTGCAATGGTTTTATCGTTGCATGCCATTAGTTTAAGTCTATTTGCGACATGTGATCATCCGAAAAATATTGCCTAAGTTATTCCCATTTCTAGTAAGCAAGTAAATATGTGTAATCTGTTTTATATTATAATTGAACCAACGATTACAGTGTAAGTATATATTGTCGGTTACTCAAAGTGAACTTTTATTTGGCAAAGACGAAATAGTCACTATATTAATCGTTGTATGTCGTCGTATATCGTTGAAAATGTGATACCATAATTAAACAGCCATCAATCGCTTATGTCGACCAGACCGTATATAATTTGTGTTAACACAGTTTTATTTCCACAATTTGTAGGCTCGTCGAGTACGTGATAATTACTCTAGTTGTGTAAGTGTCTTTGCTTTTAATCAATGATTACACCCAACTAATGCATATCATTACATTTCCAGCTGGTAGTTATTATAAATACATCGACGACTCCGTCGCTGAGACGAAGGCGCTTGGTATATTTTTACGGCACATCAAATAGTATGCAGATTCTTATTTCAATTAGTGTAGAGTAATCATAAACAGGTGGACAACATTTGTCAAAAATATTCAGTCAATCTGCAACAGCTTCTTTTTTGCGTGTATCGATAAAATCAGCTGATTCATGTTCAGTGCAAAATATTTAGTTCATCTCAAACAGAGCAGTTTCCCAACGTAATAATCTAATTTTACTAACAGAGGAAAGTGGAGCACTTGTGTGTAATTGACATAGATTTAAATATTACTTACCAATAGAGCGTCTGTTACGTGAGACGAAGTCGGCTCATCGACAACGCAAACTGAAGAATAGAATTGAAAGAACTGTCACTGCAATCTCTGGCGGGAGTCACGCGGCGCCAGCGCCTGCTGCGCGAGTCCCGCCATGCAGTTACACGCGATCAGCTCACCCGTACTGCTGTCCGGCACGGCACACCGAGCACTACCAAAAGTAAAGCGGAAAGTACGAGTCGATGATATCGCACCCTACTGTATTGTGTTACATGCCGTACAGTATATGTATACAGGCAAGTATGGCCGACTCGACGCGCCGCCGAGTTCTGCTAGCGGCTATTATTTTTTCCCGAGAAATCTGAATGTTTTGGTGAGTGACCGCGTTCCGATGGCGACGTGCCAACTGCCGGAGTCCCCTCCCCTCGCGGCCCGTCTGCCGCGCTCCAGCGCGGAGCGAGGCCGACGTCGCACGCTAGTAAACAAACAGCCAACATAACAGTTTGTGTGTACGCCTCGCCACATCACGACTCACCTCAACCAACTAAACAACACAACCACTAAAGGTTCTACAACATCTTGATTGCTTTGCTACTAATAAAGCAACTGTTGCCTGGCCATTGTTTAGTGGGAACTTGAGATCTATAAAAACGGTCAGTTTTTCTAGATTTTATACTCGCAATGACCAAATAAGTATCCTTGCCAGTAACATTCTTACTAAGTATAGGCATTATAATAAAAAAATAATCAATAAAAATAGGTGCTGACTTATGTTTACCTAGTTTGCAACAACTACGTTGAAATAATTACATATGCGTGTTTTAGAATTTCAGTGGAAGTTTTTAATCAATAAGTCGAAAGATAAAGGTAATGAATGAGCGAAAGCTTTATAACATAGGTACTTTAAAGTTAAAAGCTTTAATCCAGCTAAGTCGAAGTTACTCCATCGAACTCCAGTGACTGATGCGTTTATTAAAGCTAAACCTCGACGAGACCACGTAAGTTAACACTGAACACCGATTAACAAAATGCACAGGTTTCTTACAACTGCTTATGTTTATATTATAAAAGAAATAAAAAATGGTCAATAAAAATATTATATGCATAGGTTCTGTATAAATATTGTGACAATATAAATTCTCTCACAGCCCCTGCTGTTTATAGAAACATATCTATAAAATTACTCTTAAAGCCTAAATTAAATAGAATTTGAATGAAAACCCATTAGACTTGCATTTGAAATCGTTTTTATAACTCAGCACCTTTTATTTTTCGTAAAATATGCGATACAAGCCTGTAAATTGTTCATCAGTGCAATTACTCCTACACATTGTTTATTTTATTCCATTGAAGTCCGCCCATCTACCAACTACACAAATAGCTACAAAAATAATTTCATCTCTTTCAATTTTTACTAACGTATGAGTATATTGTATCTGTATTGAACTTCTACACACATATTATATTCATGGTCCTAATATAATCTAATTGTGAATATAATGTGGTAGACTTGAGCACTACAAGATAAAACCAAAGTTTAAATTGTAGTAAGACTAAAAATACGCATGGTGAACCAAAATTACAAAGAAAGAAAGTTTCATAATCCAGAGACTGGCTTCAGCATGAAACTATTGTTACCAAACTCAATCTATTTTGACTCATCAAAACAAATTAGATAAACTCAAATCCAGCTCAGTAAACTGAAGAATTACTACTACTATCTACTGGTCACTGATTTTTGAATTGCTGTTCCAACTATTCATTTGGTAAAGGTGAAGTGTGGCCAATAATAGCAGACATAATGTGTCATAACCCATGGTGCATAAGACAAGATTTATGACATTATGAGATTATAAGATAGTTAATATATTTTTATAAGTAACCTGTAATTTTAAAACAAAAAAGATAAATAAACAACAAGTATTTATTCTTAAAATAATTTATTTTAGAATACAAAATTTTTGAACATTTAAAACAATGCTCTCCATTTCTAATGATAAAGTACTTACGGTATTATTTACATATTTAAGAAACTTCATGTCGATTAATATAAAGAATTGAGCTAAATACAAAATAACTTAATATCTGTACTTTGTGGAATAATCTTTAGGTGATACGACCAGACCCCGTCCCTTGCGAGCACCGCGGTACACTGTCTCTATGATGTCAATCATCTCCTGCTTATCCTCCAAAGGCCAGTTGATTTTGTTGTTGTTACCAGTGCCCAAATCAATCATTATGTGTTTGTTGCGGAAGAAGAACATCACTGTGCAAGGGTCGTACAATTCATACCTGCATAAGCAGAAAAGATAAAGAGATAGATAATTTAAATAATGGAGACTACACATTTGTTTTAACTACCACCAGAAAAAGAACCAGAAACATCATAAGTATACAGTATAAGTCTTTATTTCTGTTAAACATAAGGTATAACATAACCTACTTCAAGTTGTTAATTTTTTGTATTGGTAACTAGTTGTACTTATAAATAGTAATACAACAGAGCAAACACAATTTGCTCATGAATAGTTGCATATTAATTTAAACATGTAAGTGAAGTTATTCGAATGTAACAGCTGTCAGCAAAACCAAACAGTAAATTTATGTAGTGTGGTATATTTTTGTCGATTGATTCAGGTTACATGTAGGTCAACTGTATATTTACTTACATCTTGTTGAAATCTGGTACTTCAGTTATGTCTACAAGATAAATGACAGCAAAATTCTTGACTTTCTCGGCGATACTGTAGAGGACCTCATCCATCTTCATGCACGTTGGATCCCAATCGTGACCGAATCTTATAACCTGCCAAATAAATACAGTAATATTATCCCCATTTTTCCTATACTGGTGCATTTCTATTAAATTTCCAATTAGACATTAAACACACCGAATTCTTTGTATATTGTTTTTGTTTTATCTAGAAATTACTGAGCGTACAAACAGACTCACCACAACACGATCTTCTTCAGATAGAATGGCTTGATCAACTTGCCAGCCGTTATGTAAATGTCCCAGCATGTAACTCATTGTGAAGGTTTAGAATTAAATTTATTAAATTAAGTATTAAAAAGCAAAACAAATTCAGTACCCAACTAACTGAACTCAGTCGACCAAGCAATATTCAAGCGATCAAGCGACGGCTGTCAGTGTCACTGTCAAGCGTCAAGCAGGGTTGCCATATTTTGAAATCGGGTTCCCTCTATCTGGCAGAATCTTGATTTATTTCCCATAACACACTTGGCAAAAACTTCTTTAAACGAATACGTTTAAGGCATAAAAAATATTGAGTATAATTAATGTTTGGCCGAATGTTTATATGTCCGAATTGACATTTACATACTTTTAAGATGGCATAACTTTATTTAGCATAATCACCTTTGACAGAGTTAAAATTCCTCATAATTTCGTTAAGTATAACGTTTATTTAGAGCGACGATTATTTGGTACAATTTCACTTGTCATACTATAAAGATGGCAGAATTTCACTTGGAATAATTTTTTTAGGCATATTGCCATAAAATAGCATTTTAAACTTTAAATTAAAATATTATCTTAAAAAGTCATGTCTTGCTACAAAAGTTTGTGTCAGAGTCTAGTCTTTCCATTGTTATAGATATGAAATATATGCCAAAAAATGATTCTCACTGGAAACTTTCTGAGATATGATAGTTCTGCCTTTTAATGACTATCGATATGAAATTTATGCTCAAAGTCGATTCTGACTATGAACTTTCGGCGATATGATGGTTCTACTTTTTAATTATTATGGATATGAAGTTTATGTCTTAAGATGATTATGACTTACAGAATTATGAGTTTTGAATGTATGATAAATGAGTATCTGCCAAACGATTGTCTGTGAAATGTAGTTTATGCTATCCGTTGTTATGCATAATAATATTATGACATAAAAAGTTCTGCTATAAAGGATCTGATATAATTTCATTTGTACGTACCTACAAATAAAAAAGTGTGTTGTTTGTAAACAAAGTTATTGCAGCTGCAACTTCCACGTTCAGAGGGCCTAGTGCGAGTTTAATAAGTTCGCTGCACGTATTACTCACGACTGAATTAATTCTCGAACGGCCGTGATACTTATTTATTTTATTCAGGCACACAAAACAGAACGTAACATAAAACTTAGTCTTAAGAATAGCTAATACTAACAGTTTCGGTCTTAGCTATCTTCCTAAATATTTTTACACAACATGGCAATGTAGGTGATACAAGACGAGATTAGGTACACGCAAATTAAAAGCTAAGTATTAACGTAAAAATAAGTGTAAAATTTAAAAATGTGTAACAAATCAGACCATCGTTGACGACATAATATGCGTGACATTGTTTTTAAAACTAAATTTGGAATTAAATATGTCAATGCAAATGTCTTTCAAATAAACAATCTCAATCTTAAGAATGTCCAAATGTTGGGGTAAGAATTAATTATAAAGACGACACATTCTAACAATAGGATTATAAAAGGAAGTTTTAGTCAGAACTCATTTGTGACTCAATATGAATCCCAGAAGGTTTGAAGTTTTGCTAAGTATATTATTATAATGCTCGTGAAAAGTCAATTTTTCGTCAAAAGCAACACCGAGATCTTTTACCACCTGCTTTCTTTCAAGAAAGTGCCCATTGAGATTGTAATTGAACAGTACTTTCTGAACTTTAGTCGTAAAAGAGATAACACAACATTTGGTCACATTTAAGGTCATATAGTTCTCAAGGCACCAATCGTCTATGATCTCTAGGTCTTTTTGAAGGATCTTGGCATCTTGGGTACTCTTAAGATCATCAGCTTAGAGCAAGCAATGATTGGTTAATTTATCAACAAGATCGTAAATAGATATGACAAAGAACAATGGACCCAAATGCGAAACTTGCGGCACCCACGACGATACCACAAATGGAGAAGAAACAACGCCCTTGATTGCAACGAGCTGACCTCTTCTGGACAAATAGGACTCGATCCATCGTAGCAGACTGCCGTGAAAGCAATGAATGAAACAAACCGTGCTTAACTTTATCGAAAGCCTTAGAAATGTCCGTGTAAACAGTGCTAAAGTGACTAACGAATCGGTCGCAAATATCTTTGTGATTGGTAGAGCTTTTGTTATTATATGTCATGGTTAAGGGTTAAGTTTTTTTTTGTTGTTGACATATCTCTAGAAATATTTTATTTCCGAGACTCCACTTGATATTAATAATTAACATGTCTTTGTACACGGTGCTACGTGTGGACTACTGCAGGACATACATTACGCATTTTTAAGGTGTTATTAAATTTTTTACTTCAAACTGTCGTTTGATTGTAAATAATTTGTAGAAACTTGAAAGTACGTGTATGTATTTGTTAAATAAATAAATAAAAACAATAAATACATTTCATTTTTTTAACTACCATTTCGATGTCTAAAAATATAAAATGTATTGTGTATAGTGGACGGTGTCGGAATAAGCTTCCGCCACAAGTCCACTGCTGGACATAGGCCTCTCCTTAGCAAGGAGGTTTTGGCCTACTATACAACGCTGGCCAGACGGTTTGGTATAGGGTTTGTGTCAAGTTTGGCTTCTCTCTGCAGTGTCCTGCGTAGTTCCCTCAGTCGCCTCTTACGACACCCACGGGATGAATAGGGCACACATTGCGAACGAAATATCCCCAGATGATATCCGTTCACCTCGTTAGCGTAGCTTAGCTGTGTACTTCGCGGTGAAAACCGAAATAAGAGGTGAAACAATGCCCGCCTGGCTCTCTCGCTCCCTCGTCAGATGGCGATGTTAATAACGTGTTGTAAGAAGTAGCGGATAGCTCTCATACAATGAGCTATTAACCGTACGATGATTTTCTATTTTGTTATTTAGTTAATTAGTTACACTGCAATACAATGTGGCTCAGTTGACTGTCTAAACTTTCAGGATACTTTATTAACACTTAAAGGTTTTTTTGGTATTTCTTTTACGTTGTTAATACACTTATTTATAACCTAATTAATATCACAAACTTTGAAAAGTGTGTGACGTTACTTTGATCTCGATATAACCTTTAAAGTTAGACACTTGGGTGTACGATAACAAGTATCGTACGACTTGATTTTCACTGAATATACATGGGCTCAAAGACTTTCAACCCAATAAAACAATATGTCGTTTTCTTCGTTAACTATCGGTATATACTCGTACTGCAATACTTATATTAGGGTACAATGAAACAAACATAATATATCATTGAGATAGTGTAAGTTTAATTCAGTCTTGGACAGACAATCGAGTAGGGAACATTGTAATACGTTATCTGTATTCATGCGGGTGTCGGACGTGACGCGTCCCGTCTCGGTCACGGCGCTGGAACTCGCCGCTCGCTCGTACGCACGCAACTCGATCTCGCCACATATTTATTTCTTAGTACGATCGAGGTGGACGGAGCGAATCGTCGCGACTGTCAAAACGGTCCACGATTCGGTCATCTCGTTCGATTCACTCAACGAATACGTCACGAGTGTGGAGGCGTCCGGTAGTCGCAGCGAGCGCGATGTCTTCCGCCGGCGTGTTCCGTGCGCGGAGAGCGGGCCCCTGTGCACCGGCGCGGGCGTGACTAGTGCGCGGGCGGGTCGGGGCGGGGCGAGGGGCCCGGGGCGCTAGTGGGGGGCGCCGGGCTCGTCGGCGGCCGTCGGCTCGTCGGCGCGCCAGTCGAGCGCGCCGGGCGCCCAGATGCTGGCGAGCGAGCGGAAGGGGTCGTAGGGCCGCACGGGGCGAGGAGGCGCGCCGAAGCCGGGCGGCGGGCGAACGGCCGCGCCGTCGCCCAGCCCGCCCCACAGCCACGCCGCCGCGGCCGGCCGGGGCTCCAACGTGCCGCCCCACACCGAGTTCATCGACCGGTAGGAGCCGTTGGTCGCTCCGACCGGTTCGTCTGAGGAAAACGATACACAGATATCTGTTATTAAGATTACCGCGTCGATTTAATCGAGACACTCGCAAATTATTAATATCATTAAGTATTAAGATATTTCTTTTGCACGGAGTAAATGTTTGTTTGCTTTTCCAGAAATTTTGCCATTATTTCTAATAGATTTACTATAAATTTTGGAACCGAGTGTACTTGACCACCTTGTACTTGTCAGTCACAAAAATTGAAATACCTCCAGAACTGTAAAAGTTAGATAAATGAAATAAAAAACAGAATAAAGACTTTTTAGTTGCGCTTCTAATAGCATATTATTTAAACTGGTTGATGAAAAAAACTTCATTAGAAAAACAAAATTTAAAAAAATGACTATTTTTAAAAACCAAATTTTTGTTTCATTTCATTATAGATGCTTTCCATTTCTATTCTGTCACAAACAAAATTATCGTGAACGTCTTCCACGTGCATAATTATTATTCTGTGAGGTGAAGCATGGCAGTCACGCTAGAGGAATGTACCAGAATCTTAACTTTTTTGGAACTTGGGCGGAGCCAGCGTGAAACAGCCAGAAACATTGGTGTATCTTTGTCGACTGTTCAGCGGGTAGTCCAACGGTACCAAGAGACCGGATCACACCTTAGAAGACCAGGAAATGGCAGACCAAGATGCACAACGGCCAGGGAAGACAGACAACTGGTGGCTACAATGCTCCGAAATCGTTTTCAAACTGCTGTTGGTCTAAAAACTCACTTTATTCGCTTTGGAGGTGGCAATTTAGGCGCTCAAACAGTAAGAAGCGTCTTGCTGAAGCAAATTTGAAACCATTGAGGCCCGCAAATGGCCCCAAACTGGAACGGGGACATCGAATTGCAAGACAGAGATACGTGCGCGAGCACCTAAACTGGACACTAGACGATTGGTCTAGGGTAATGTTCACGGACGAGTCTAAATTCATGCTTTATAAGCATGATGGTAGGCAGTTGGTGTACAGAAGACCAGGGGAGCGCTTCCATCAAGCGTGTGTGGAGGAAAAAGTGGCGTACGGTGGAGGTTCCGTACAAGTTTGGGCTGGGATTTCTACTGAGGCCCGCACCGAGCTGGTACCCTTTAATGGCCAGGATGGACCGGTATGGCATATTAATGCATGATAATGCGCGTCCCCATACCGCCAGAATTGTACATGACTACCTTGAAGAGGTCGGTATCGAACTCATGCAGTGGGCAGCGCGAAGCCCGGACTTAAACCCCATCGAGCACGCCTGGGACGAGCTTCAGAGATGCGTGAAAGGTCGAAACCCCCCACCAATCACGCTTCCCGAGCTCAAACAAGCACTGGTGGAGGAATGGGAAGGTATTCCTCAGCACCGGCTCCGAAATTTGGTGTACAGCATGCCTAATCGCCTGGAAGCTGTCAGAAGAGCTCGTGGAGGCAATACAAAGTATTAAATGAAGAAAGTGATGAAAAACAGCAAAAAAAAAAACAATCATAAAAAAATGAAATCTTAAGAAGAATACATATGACTACTTTAGTTTTTTTTTTTAAATTTAGAGATAAGTTAAGAGTTAGAGAGTTTAGATTTAAGTTTTATTTTATTTTTTATTTGTATAATTAAATTCTCAATTGAACAGTCTTCGTTTCATTAGGATGGCATACGTAGTTCAGGAGATATTCGGGTTTATGTGACTGACCCGTTATTTTTGGAACCGAGTTTATTTAGGTCGACTTATTCAGTAACTCTGTATACATATATAATATGAATCTCGGAAACGGACCAACGATTTTCATGAAATTTAGTAAGTAGGGAGTTTCGGGGGCTATTAATTCGGGGGTTTCATTTTAGAAAATTTATCAAAATAAAAATACCGAGCGGAGCTCGGTCGTCCAGGTACTATCACTCGACGAACGAATTCCTATATCGGTTAAGGAAACGTCGGAGTATGAAAGACGTTCGATAACAGAAAACGCGTCTCACCGAGAAACGCGGGGTCTCTCGCCGGGGAGAAGGCGGGGTCTCTCGCCGGGGAGAAGGCGGGGTCTCTCGCCGGGGAGAAGGCGGGGTCTCTCGCCGGGGAGAAGGCGGGGCGGTCCACGCGGGGCGGCGGGCGCCACGCGAAGTCGGGCTCCCGGGGCGGCGCGTGCGCGGGGTCGCCGTTGAAGTAGAAGAGCGAGTGGTCGGGCGCGGGCTCGGCGCGCCGCCGCACGTCGGAGCCGATGGGCGCCAGCGGCGCGGGCCCGGGGCGCGCCGCCACCACCGAGCTCCACGACGCGCCCCAGCGCAGCGCGCCCGGCGCCCGCGCCTCGGGCCGCAGCGCCGCGCGCGCCGGGGACGCGGGCCGCGAGCGCCGCCGCGCCGCCGCCTTGCGCGCCACAGCCTTGCACGCCGCGGGCCGGCCGCGCGCGCCCGCCTCGCCCTCGCCCGCCTTGCTCCTGTCGCTCCGCCGCGGCGTCGGCTGTCGGCACGGCCGCGCGCTCGCGTCCGCGGGCGGGGCGCGGGGCGTCGCGACCGGGGATTCGTTTCGTTCGGCCCGCGGTCGACTCCGAGGCGAGCGGTCCCGCTCGTCGCCGTCGTCCGCCTCGTCGACTTCGGCGACCGGCGACGACGAGGACGCGGAGGCGGACCCCGAACCGGTCGAGGCGGCCTCCTCGTCGCCGCCGCCCGGCGGGCGGTCCTCCGTCTCCGGGTCCGCTTCGTAACCGTCGTTGGCGGCGCCCGGGGCCTCGTCGACGTCGTCGACGGGCTCGAACGCCTCGGCCTCGAGCGGCGGAACGTCGTCGGGAGTGGAGCGCTCGATCCGATCGTTGTCCTCCGAGGAGCGCTCGTCGTCGTCCTGCGCGCCCAGCACGTCCCGGCGCCAGCGCTCGAAGGCGCGCCTCTCCGCGGCGGGGTCGGCCGGGGGCCGCGGCGGCCGGCGGCGGCGCGGAGGCGGCCTGCGCGGCACGGGCTGCGGCGGTGCCTACAGACATATCACATATTATGTATTTATATTTCCGAATAGTTTTTTATCACTGAACGAACTAAATATTTTCTTACTTTAAAAATGACCATAAACAAAAATTATTATACAAACGTGTTCTACGCGAAGCACACTCAATGACACCGCTGTCACGTCACTGGGGTGATTCGAATAATACCACCGTATCGCACTATACTGTATATATTTAAGCTAATACAGAACCAATACATGTAATTTGAAGGGTTTAATTAACAATTAATGTCTGGTCTAATTACGTCGCCATGTGAACCAAACTATATCGCGATTCAGAATTAGTGTGACACGCCATCTATCGATCGATCGACAAACTAAATTATTGTTACATCTAAACACATGTATGTGGCCAAGTGTTTTATTGTTTTTGCACCATAAGATTAACCTATGGATGTAATATAGGATTAATACCTTGGTTTTTGATAGGTACATATTATTACCTATTGAAATCCAAGATTTTTCATTCCGATGTTTTTCGATTCATGCAAAGATATTACTTTTAATACTGTGTTCGATAAACGGAAAGACAGGTCACCTAACGGTAAGCGATAACCGCTGTCCGTTGACACCTCCAATTTAAAAGTTACAATGCGTTGCGGCCCTTTGAGTCTACGATATAATATTCAATGTAGTATACGATGATGTGAAAACGTTAAACAGGAATGCAACACTGTACTGGGTTTTTTCATCTGAGCATTGGCTGATGGTACTTGTGTTCCGATATTACATTTGACAGTGTAGAAAGGTATGCTTTTTATACAAACAATAAATAGCTCTGAACAAGATTAAGTCAGCGAAATGCTTTCACCGATTGTCGTAAAACGTTTTCCATTGGTAATAAAACAATATTTACTACTAATTAATAAAAGTAACCGCCGGTAGGAGAAACAGTTTTTAAGGTATTTTTGTTAAGAAATATTTTTGAAAGCGAGAGGCACCTGAGGTTCGTGCGCCAGCGCGCGCAGGTCGAGCGGCTGTCGCGCGGCCGGCGGCGGCAGCGGGGGCCGCTGCGCTCGCGCGCGCCGCAGCTCCCGCTCGGCGTCCAGCGCCGCGGCCGCCAGCACCAGCGCCAGCGCGGCCAGCGCCGCCAGCGCGCCCGCCGCGCGCAGCGCCGGCTCCCACGGCGGCCGCGGCGCCGCCCCGCCGCACTTGGCCAGCAGTCGCGCCGGCGCCGCCGCCGCGAGCGGGAAACTGGCTCGTCCCAGCTCCGACCTGCGAGCGACGACAGAATACGTTCACCGGTTCGCTCGGTTCGGTGCCCGATATCGTAAAGCGAGTATTAACACGAAGCGTACGTACTTGAGGTCGAGCGTGGCGTGGACCTTGGCGAGCGTCCAGTCGGCGGTGAAGGCGAGCGTGAGCGGGCGCGACTCGTTGGGCGCCAGCGAGAGCGCGGCGCAGGGCGACAGGCGGAAGCCGCGCGCCTGGCACGCCTCGCCCGCCACGAGCCAGTCGCGCAGGCGCACGCGCACGCGGCCCGTGTTGCGCGCCACCACCGTGCGCCGCACCGTGGCGCCGCCGCCCACGCACTCGCTCACCTGCCGCGGGTGCACGTGTAGCTCATCGGTGATAACGACTCAATAACCACTATTATATTCACAAGTCTAAAATTAACTTGCTTTTTATTAATGTACGCCTAAATCTTTTAAAATTTTAATGCGGTTCTCACCGATAGAGACAGTGATTTAAGAGGTGGATTTATATGTATAATACATGCATATTCTGGTAGAGGAAATTCGAAAATTTCAGATATTTATAATGAGAAGTCTAATAAGAAACTTATTATTGAAAAAACTAAACACCTGACTGACAGTCGGGTAAAAACATGTTTTTGTGGGCTGAATTGCAAAACCCTTACGAAATAGATCAAAATAGTGTACTACAGAATTGCATATCTTAAAAAGATCTACAAAAAGTCCGCGACGGTATCTGTCTATCTCCTAGAGATAATAAAAATATATTGGGTTTTTTACGACGTGTGGTGACTGATTAAGAATACAAAGTGTCACAACCCCTATTCATCTCGTGTCGGTTTCGTAAGAGCCGACTAAGGGAAAAAAACTACGCAGAACACTAGCACTGCAGAGAGAAGAAAACTTTGACACAAACCCTATATAGCCAACCCTGTATAGTAGGCCAATACCTCCTTTCTAAGGAAAGGCCTACGTCCAGCAGTGGACTGTTAAAGGCTGTTGATGATGATGATATTTACGAAACTATTTAGAACAATACAATATTATTCCTCATCCAATTAAATACGTTAGATTCGTTTTCCATTTAATGTAGATCAATTTCCCTTTACAGCATATCCTCAAAATGAATATCTTAGCAGATATCAGAGATTTAAAATGCGGGGATGAAGCGGCCGTCGTTGGGACGTAATTTCAAGAAATGTTTAGGAAATATATATTTTTATTTATGTTTTGCCTTAAAAAGACAATATTAACAAGACATATTTCGACCTGTACCGGAAACAATATTAGAACCATTAGATTATTTTAAATAGTTATATGTACCTCAAACAGTAGCGGTGAATTGGTACCGGGGCGTCGTCCACCGATCTCGAAGCTCGGGTATGCTCCGCGACCCGACAGTTGAACCCCTTCCATTATGGTCAAGTTATTTCTGAGAACATTATCAGTGCATTAATTAAAAACTATATATTTGCCTCGTCCTATTTTATTTATTTAAAACTTAATGCACATGTTCGGTGTAATACATATGTATAACCGAACACCTTAGTAAGCACTAAGTGAGTGACGCGTTTACCTATTTAGAACACACGTTTACTTGCGCAGTGCACTTTGGGTGATCGCGATATTCGGGTGCATTCGTAGCAACATTATAACATTTTCATTAAACATAAAATTCAACTAACATTTCTAGCATTTAAGAACATATTGTGAACTAGAACAATATACGATTAGGGTGTAACAAATTAAAACATTACTTTTATTTAACAAGCACTGCAACCCTCGCGCTACCCCGTACATAAGTTTTTGGTCCTTCGATAGGACCTCGCACGGCTATAGGTATCGGAAAATCGCGATAAGTGCTCGGGCGAGGTATTGAACTGGTTAACATTTAGTACTTGGGTGGTGAGTGTGTGTACGAGTTGTAGTGCTAACATTGGAGGTGCAGCAGCCGCAGCAGATATAGTGGAGGGAAGTACCAAACAATAGACACGCAAGTAATACATTTTATTATTCTTTTATTAAAAATATATTTAACACTCAAGCGTCATGGCAGAGCTTATTGATATGCAAGCGATCATCTATGACAGCATCGTCAAGCTTGGCATTAACATTAAGAAGGATAGCGTTGAAAGAAAAACATTAGATTACTTCAAGAGGCGATTAAATACTCTGGAGGAATACTGGACGGAGTATGAGGGTAATCATGACAGGATTACCGGCGAAGTCAGTCAAACTAACTCTTATTTCGTCAATCGAGAACGCGAGAAGACTATGAAGGCATATGAGGAAGTGAAAGCCTTGATCAACCAGCAGTATCAGAAGTTTTTGCATAAGACTGCCAATCCGATTGAACAAGGAAAGACACCGTACAAGGCAGCATGGGATGCTCCCCAGCCGGGAGAGGAAGAAGCTACGGCGGTAGTAGGACCCAGCTCGCAAACCCCCATTTTGAAAACAAGTACGGGGACGAACAGTAAGGTCGACGATCTGTTACGGCGTCAACAAGCAAATTTCAAAGCCTTTTTGCGAACAACGTCTAACATTGATGTAGATGCTATTGTAGAGAAATGGGAGTTCGAAGATGTTTTGAAAACTCTTGAAGCGAGATGGTCAACAATTGATACGTTACATTGGGAAATTGAGAGTGAGTTAGACGAAGATAATGTGTCATATAAATGCATGTTTGACAAGTATGAGAAACAATTCAGCACGTTGAAAAGGTCTATCAACCAAAGGATGTGGTCGGTGGTGCACAGGAACAAGGCGACTCCACAACTCGAGATACCGGTATTTTCTGGTAACTACAACCAGTGGGTATCTTTTCGTGATTTATTTACAGAAGCTATTCATAACAACCCATCGTTATCTAACGGCCAGAAGATGCAATATCTCAAGGGTCAAGTCCGCGGGGAGGCTGAGAAACTGATACAACACTTGCAGATTAGTGCAGATAACTATTTGGCATCTTGGAATATTCTTACGCATCGTTATAACAACAAAAAATTGATATTTTCTTCTCAAATGAACATTCTTCTAAACCTTCCTAACATGCAGCAGCAGTCAGTACATCAAATTAAAAGAATGCATGATACCACAGTGGAATGTCTAAACGGCATTAAAAACTTGGGAGTAGACATAACATCTTGGGACCCTATCGTGGTCCATATTTTAGGCCAGAAGTTAGATAATGAAACATATACAGACTACATAGAGTCATTAAAGAATTCCAGAGAATTGCCAATACTTCAAGAATTTCTTGGATATTTGGAAACCAAATTTACGGCCCTGGAGACAGCCTACAGAAAACAAGACCCTGGATCGTCGAAACATTCTCAAACAAAATATAATAACTCATCATCTAATGTAAAGAAATCATATTATAACTTATATAATAAGACGAACAATATGTACAATAACTCAAATAACCCACATAAGTCCGTTGCGAAATCTATGCACGTGACAAACATCAAGTGCCCAATGTGCAAAAGTTAGCACGGCATTTATAATTGCAAAACCTATATAGCTCTTAGTGATGAATTAAAACTAAAAACAGCCAACAAATTAAAACTCTGCACGAATTGTTTATTCAGCCATAATGGCAATAAGTGCAATTCTATGTTGAGATGTCGTAAGTGTCAAGAACCGCACAATACAATTCTGCATGACGCACTTACGAAACACTTATATTCTGCACAATCAAGTCGAAATCATATAACACAACAAGAGCAGGAAAATTTCGCTGCTACGTCACATACTTCCCAAATGGACACCTCAGAGATATTGCTTGCGACAGCGTTATTGCAAGTCAAAGCCTCTGATGGTTCATATTACACCATGCGAGCTTTAGTCGATCAAGGCTCCCAAATATCATTAATAACAGAAAAGGCGGCTCAGCTGTTAAACATTAAAAGACAGAGATGTAAGGGGGTAATTTTCGGGGTAGGACAAAAGGAAAGCAACTGCAAGGGAGTAATTTCTATAGAATGTGCTTCATTATGTAGCAATTATACATTCAAAGCGGAAGTTTTTATTATGACCAATCTTATAAGAAGCCTACCAAACAAAAGCTTCCCGAAAACAGATTGGTCACACATAGCTAACATACAGTTGGCCTATCCCGAGTTCTGATCGCTGATCTGGTCGCTATGAGGTTAGAATACCACTGAAAGAAGATTTAAAACACAAACTGGGTTTATCTAAACCGATGGCAATCGCGCAATTAAAAAATTTAGAAAATAGATTTAATAAACAAAAACAGCTGGCGTCTAAATATAGGTCATTTATGAGCGAGTATCTCGAATTACAACATATGAAACCCGAAGAAACACATACAATAGCGAGCTTGCAATCCTATCTACCTCATCACGGGGTACAGCGCGATGAGTCATTAACGACCAAGTTACGAGTAGTTTTTAATGCGTCCGCAAAAACATCAACAAAATTTAGTTTAAACGATATAATGTATAAAGGGCCTAACATGCAAAAGGATTTACAGGCGTTATTATTACAGTGGAGACAGTATCCTTACGCTTTTACCGCCGACATCGAGAAAATGTATCGTCAGATTTTAGTCAATAGCATAGACCAACACCTTCAAAAAATCGTTTGGAGGGAATCCCCAGAACAACCCATACAGAGCTACCAATTGACTACGGTCACTTATGGTACCAAAGCGGCGCCATTTTTAGCCATCAGGACATTAAAACAACTGGCGGCGGACGAGCGCTGTAAACATCCTGAAGCGGCAAATGTCCTGGAAAACTCATTCTTCATGGATGACCTGGTTTACGGCTGCTATAGCATTGAGAAGGGAAAATATCTTATTAATGAATTGATCCAACTATTAAAATTAGGTGGATTTAATTTGAGAAAATGGACCTCTAATAGTCACGAATTACTGGCGAGCGTAACACAGAGTGCGGAGGAAAACATTTATAACTTTAAAAATGAAGATACGTCCAAAACATTAGGCCTATGCTGGGAGACAAAACAAGATAATTTTACATTTAATTTTAATTTCACACAAACAAAAGGAAAACTGACCAAACGAACACTACTTTCAGAAATTTCGAAGTTATTTGACCCCTTAGGCTGGTTAACGCCCTTATCTACAAAACTAAAATTACTTTTCCCAAGAATATGGCAAACAGATTGTCAATGGGATGACACGGTATCTGAGGACATATAAATATAAGGAGTGGTCCAAGTTAGCAGCGGATATCGAAAACATAAAAAAGTGTGCGTTACCGAGATGGATTTTAACACAACAGGATAGTGTTATTGAATTCCACGGGTTCTGTGACGCTTCCTTGGAGGCCTATGCATGTGCGATATATGCTCGAACAAAACACAGTCAGCAAACTATATTAGTAGCGGGAAAATCTAAACTTGTACCACACAAAAAGGCCCTTACATTACCGAGAATTGAGCTATGTGGGGCAGATCTACTAGCGAAACTCATGAACAAAATTGTAAAAAGTGTTAGCTGTACATATAAAATCTATGGTTGGTGTGATTCCATGGTGGTGCTGAGCTGGCTACATGGAGACTCAATACGGTGGAAATCGTTCGTGGCTAACAGAGTTAACGCTATAAAACAAATTATACCGAGCGACAGCTGAGCGGTTATCGTATTACAGTGTTCACCGCCTATTGTTTTGCATATTGTATCTAAGTATGTTATTATTTTGTTATATGCATTTATTCCTTCCCAATACGGAGACATGTCGTAAAATATTACTAGAGTCCACTTATCCTTAGCCAGGCGTTTTTTACTTGTTGTATAAAGGCGGACTTAATGCCATGAGGCATTCTCTCCCAGTCAACCTTCAGGTGATGTCGAAATATTTTGACTGATTTTGGCAGGGAGGGCATTCCAGAGGAGGACTGACTGGACGTAGAAGGAGGAGTTGATGAAGTTAGAGGTGTGAGGAAGCATATTGTTCAGCATATCATAGAAGAAGCATATTGTTGGTTGATCGAAGATTTCGATCGTGATTGGAGCATAGGAAACGGAAGTGGGGTACGAGGTATTCAGGTAACGATGGAGAGTTGAGGAAAGAAAAGAGAGAAGTCAGTGCTCGTAAACTGCGGCGCTGACGAATTGGGAGCCATTGCAGCTGGGAACGTAAAGCAGACACGTGGTCATACTTGCGAAGATTGGAAACGAATCGAATGCAGTTATTGAGAAGGCGATCTAGTTTATTGAGAAGGTCTGCATTCAGGTAGAAATAACACACATCACCATAGTCGATTATGGGAATAATTAAGGACTGCATAAGCGTAGCCTTAGTTTTAGCGGGAAGGAAGTTCTTCAATCGATATAAGGCACGGAGACATGTGGTGGAGACTTTCTGGCCGACGTGTGTAACCTGTGCCCGCCAGTCAAGTGTTGAGTCGATATATAACCCCAGGTTCTTTACCACTGCACTATCAGGTATAGTCACATTGTTGTAGACAACTGGTGGGATGACCGCCATATCCAACCTAATTTTGATAGGTATTTGTTACATTATGTTACATAGATTTATAATAATCACGAAAACAAGATAAAGCGTGTGCACGTGTTCGTGACGACGAAGTATTGAGTACATAATCGGTATCGTATATATGAGCATCGGAATCGCAGTGTCCATACCTCAGGTACAGGTAGGCGGTGAGCGGCGCCGCCTCCCGGGGCGCGAAGGTGAGCTTGAGCTCGATCTCTGCGTCGGGCGCCAGCAGCAGCACGGGCAGCGCGCTCGTGGCGTTGTGCGGCACGCGCCACGTGCGCGCGGCGCCCCGGGCGGCGCGCCACTGCACGAGGCGGAAGGCGGCGCGCCCGCACGCGCAGCGCTCCGCGCGACACGCCGCCGCCTCCGCCACCGCCGCGCTGCAACACGCGCGCCGTCAGACCCCGCCCGGCTCTGGCCGCCCCACCCCGCGGCGGATACTCACAGCGACAGCGGCCCTCCCACCACCGGTTGCACGAGCAGCGGATGACTCCGCGACGGGTTCCTCACTCGGATTTTCAACGGAACCGCTCCGCCGACCCCGGCCAATCCCGCGTCTCCGGGCGAGACGGCTAAACGTGGCCACCACGCGTTCACGGTACCCGTCACCGGGATCTGTGAAGCGGAAACGGTGGACCCGTGTCAATCGCATGGATAATGTAGTGATCGGTTGAGTATTTTTGTCTTTTATTAAAATGCGTGAGCCCTCTGCGCGGTACACGCTAGCCCACTACATACCTGCACGACGCGCGTGGTGTGCACGTGCAGCGACACGTTGTGGAGACGCGGGTTGCGCGCGTAGAGCGCGTGGCGCGCGGCCTGCAGCGCCGCGTCCAGGCGCAGCGCCGCCTCGTCCGGCGCCGCACCGCGCCGCTCCCACGCCGCGCCCTCTGCGCGAAACACACTAGCTCACTACATACACGCCTCATCATATCGTTTTCGTTATATTTCGTTATAGCGAAAACGAATCTGACGGTTACAAAAATAATAACACGACCAAAAATTGATTTAGGCTCTGTTGAATTATACTGGGTCTACCGATAGGGATGACCTGGTTTTGACAGCTCATAGCGGCCACGTTCGATGATGGATCTTTGACGTCTCTTGAAATTTGTGTTCAGTGAGGTTTGCCATTTTATCATGTCACGTTTCACTTTAAACCGACGCTTGAAAATTGTCCAAAATTATTAGGCAAATTCGCGTTCTCCTACCGCTACAGTAAGAACGCTTCGCGCAAAAAACGGTCGTCATAGTGCTGCTTCTGTGCGCGCTATAAATCGCATGATAACAAAATTCGAAAGTGTATTCACTCTCCACGATACTGCTGTGCCTGTGAGACAAAGAAATGCCCGTAGTGAAGAGAATATCGCAGCCGTTCAGGCCAGTGTTGATGCGAATTCAAATCGATCAGTTCAACGCCGTTCACGAGAGTTGGGGTTCTCTCCAATGACCACCTTGCGTATTTTGCGATTGGATTTGGGCCTACACCCATACAAAATTGTTTTGGCACAAGAATTGAAGCCATCCGACCATTGTATCCGTCGTGAATTTGCCGATTATGCACTGGAAATGATGGAAGCCGATGACGATTTTCATCGTAAAATCATCTTCTCAGATGAGGCCCATTTCTGGCTCAATGGATTTGTTAATAAACAAAATTGTCGCTATTGGAGTGAGTCAAATCCATGTGTGGTTCATGAATCACCATTTCATCTGCAAAAAATAACAGTTTGATGCGGTTTATGGTACGGTGGAATCATTGGTCCGTACTTCTTTGAAAGTGACGAAGGAAACCTTGTTAGTGTGAATGGCGAGCGCTGTATATGTATATGCGCATTTAGCCGATATATTATTTAAAACATAAATTGCATAAAATTATCTATCAAATAAATCAATCGGATGCATTTTTCATAAAAAATTGTGTGTTTTATTCCATTTTTAAACCAGGACGTTCTTATTGGTAGACCCCATATTTTGCCAGTATAATTTTCTATAATCCATCTTATAAGAAGTACCGTTTGACAGCTCTTGTGTTTTCGTGGAGACAAACGAGCGATTTTGCCTCCAAATTTTAATTTAAAATTATATTAACGTACATCATTTTAATTTTTCGTTTTCGCTGACAGTTCGATATCAACGAAAACGAAATAAAAACGGTAGGTTATCAATAAGTTGGATTATTCGTACGTTTAACGATAATTCGTACACAAGTAAATTTGAAAAATCGCAACACTACGGTACTTTTTTTTTATCTATTTTTTTAAATTATTATAATTGTGTATATTGTTGAACAATACAATGTTGTTTCGGCTTGAAAAGTATGAAATGTCAAACGATGCCTCTTAAATGTTGATTAGTTAGCTATCCATGCGTTCTGGCTGTTGTGGAGAAAATGTTAAATATGAAAATTTTATTAAAACGTGACAGATATATTTAGATATTTATATATTTATATATATATATATATACACGGTGATTTTATAGGCGTTTTGGAAACGAAACATTTTAATTTGGAATCATCTATAGTACCAATAAAAATGATTAAATCAATTGTAATGTTGTATTAGCTAATGCAGCACTAATGTATTAGCTCAACAACGCCGATCTTTGTTTCATGAGCGAGTGAGACTAAAGATACGTGAATGAGATAGATGATAGGCGAGTTCAGGCTTATTGAGTTTCTTTAATCAAAACGTACATTATTTTTATAGGATCAAATTTTAACATTACTTAATTATTATTTGAGAAATAAACGTGAAAAAGCAAAATCAATTTAACATGTATAATTTCTAACATACAACCGAATAAAAGTACAAAAATTTTTTTATACATATTTCTTATTTTTAATTATCTAATTATTTCTAATAATTATGTAATCTTAACAAAATAAATAAAAATTATAATAAAAAAATGGTTCAAATGAAGTTCCAAGAACTGAATTTAGGTTAATATGGGAACAAAGAAAGGTTTGTATGAGCGAGAGAGGTTTGAAGTGAGTGATATACAAATACTGAGCTAAACGATCTGTACGAAGAAATAAATCAATTGATACACCAATCGATTGATTTGGATCACTGAGCTAGTGAGTCTAGTGAGCTCGTGAGCTAGATGAGCTATATATATATATATATATATATATATCTTTAGAGCGAAATGATATGTATCTATCTTTTCAGCTCGGTGGTACAAATTGCGTATCACTAACCTGTATATACCGCAGTTAAATCAATAAAAATTGTCTTCCTATTTCAAAATATGCCATGTTGGGAGTAGTTTTAGGATTATTGTCAATTGCAAGTGTGAATAAAAATGTGTTATATGCCTTACAAAATAAACCTGACAGAGTTAATAATTACAAGTGGCATATGCGACATACCGGGTGTGTCGATGTCGAGGCCGGTGTAGCAGTCGGGCTCGCACAGCTTCTCGGCGGCGAACAGGACCGTGCCGACGGCGTGACGCCCGCTCGACACCTCCTCCGAAGAGCCCTCCGCGCTGGGACTGTGATAGGTGCTCACTTACAATCAACAATCTCTCAACCAGTCCCTTCATAATACGTTTAATTTTATAATAAACTTCAAAATCCCAACATTTTTATGAATGGTAAAAAAAGTAAAACAATTAACTTAAATTTGTAATAATTTGTGTGTTTTGTTTTTTAAAAGACAACTCCCGCATTAGGAATATATCCGGTGTCATGGGGGACTTTACAAACATAGATGAAACGGACACAAAGAACACTTAGACTCAGAACAACAATTTGTGGATCACACAAAAAGTGTCGTCCCATGTGGGGATCGGACCCACAACACTCAGCGCAGTAGAAAGCGGCGTGGCGATTGCTTAAACCACTACGCAACTCTCCACGCAAAACTCCACTAGCAATTAAAAAAAAGTATATTGAAAAACATCCAAACAGACTTTTTGACTTATATTTAGACTATTTACTGTGTACTACTATTTATTATACTGAAACAGGCCGTCACGATATGTGCAAAATATTCTTATATATTACTAGTATTATGTAAATGTATATTTGTGTATAATCCATGTATGAAGTGAAAGTGAAGGAGCAATGCGTGTCGTCGTGCAACTCACAGGTAGAAGAGCGCGGGGTTGTCCGGCGGCAGCGTGACGTCGGCCACGCGCATGCCCAGCGCCATGCTGCTCTCCAGCACCAGCGGCGCCGACGACCACGCGTACTGCACCACCACACGGAAACGCACGATTTTAGCTCTTCCGCTCCACATTTTTATTTACATTTTATTGCATGCAATTCAATATACTTCAAAAGAATATACTTCAGTATTTTTTTTTAGAATTTTTACAAGAAGAAAAGGAGATTTATGGTTTTTATTTAATTTTATACAGGTATAAGAGACGGTGTGACGAATACTAAAATAGTGTATTCAGACGATCATTCTGATTCGAAACTCATTGGAATTTGCTTGCGGAAAATTAGGCGTTTTATGTAATTAGGCGTCAAACGTTAAGGTCATGTCCAGTAGGTATCGCACAAAAGTAATAACTATATTTGTATTCCTTGCAAACAGTCTACTCATACCAACACAAGCGGACGGGAGGAAGGGAGGCTCCGCGCGATTCGGCTGTTTGATTTATTACATTGTAATTTTTAAAGTTTAAAATGTTCTGTTTACTCATTGTGATATCATTTTTAACCAAAAAAAAGTTATGAAATTTCTGCCAGAAAATTTCAATCATTTTCGACTCAGAACGATGCAGCGATGGTCTGAATTCACTATTTCAGTATTCGTTACACCGTCCCTTACATTCTGTATACTGGCATTTTGTATTGTCATATTTATCCAGTGGTTCCTACACCACCATGTTTGACTGGATTTTTCACCTTTTCTAGCTATGCTATACTTTTTATGTAAGAAACTTCTACTGGTCATCACTACATTGGCATTCTTCGCCAGGTCTAAAGTGAGTAGATGCGGTAAAGTTTAACTGACCGGCGCGGAGTTAGCGAGAGTGAGCGTGTGCGCGTGCAGGCGGCCCGGCAGCGCGGCCAGCTCCACGCGCGCCTGCGTGCTCGTGCTGGGCGCGGGGGCCCCGGGCGAGGGGGCCCCGGGCGGCGCCGCGCGCAGCTGCACGTGGCCGCTCAACGCGCCCGCGCGCGCCGGCGCCACCACCGTCAGCCGCATCCACGCGCGGGAGCCCGCCGCCACGCAGCGCTACGGTATATACGTACGTTTAAATTTTATGCAATTATTAAATTAAAGAAGACGCGTAATAAAACAGTCGAAAGTCGAGACTGTCTACTGATAATATAGTATACCGACACAAGAGAGCGGGTCTGGCGCGGGCTCGGCGACCACGGCCTCGGCGCAGTTGTGCAGGCCCAGCTGCGCGCCCGGCAGCGCCACGCCCAGCTCCAGCACGCACAGCGGCGTGACGCCGCGGTTCACGAGCGCCGCGCTCACGCGCCGGGTCGACGACGCGCCCAGCGTGCCCAGCCGCAGCGTGCCGTCCGCCGAGTTGGGCCACTCCCATTCCTGCAACGCGAGGTCGAACCTTCAACTATCACTCTGAGCGAGACGAGCACTATGCGCCGCGGCCGCTGTGTGTGAGCACTTACGATATCGAGGCGGCCGCTGTACACCAGCAACGGCAAAGTGTAGTCACTGAGGTTGGTGCGCAGCACGAGCTTCGTGCGCAGCGGCGCGTCCAGCGCGGCGCTGCGCAGGCGCACGCGCGCCACTACACCGCTGGCGCCCTCCGGCACGGTCTGCCCCGCCGAACTCTCTACCTGCATACCGTGAGACCGATGCGCACGTTTATTATATCTCGCTATGTTACACACGAACCGAAGTTCGAGTCTAGCTCACCCAAAAAAATTCCGTTCAACCTTTCTGTTACGGTGTCAAATAATTTGAAAACGATGAAGCTGTACGAAATTTTTAGAATTAATACATATCAAGAAACTTTTAATATTTTTCTACAACTATATAGTTTTTCACAAAAGTGACTAGTGAAGAATTTGATATAAATATAATAGAATAAATCCTGCAATGTTAGGTTTAACTAATCAAATGTAGAGATCACTTACATTATTTAAGTCATTGGTTAATTTGAATAGCTCTGAATTACCTCAAAATATTGTTCGACGTCTGGTTCGAAATCGATGCTGGAAATATGTATGGGTACGGGGAACTCGTTGCGCACGCGCACTTCTCGACTGCTCAGCGCTTCCTCACGGTTTGAGGTCACGAAACTATTTATAATAAAATCGTCATCGATCAGTTACATGTAAATTTTACATTCATTTAATTTTACAATAGGATGAAACAAATAAAATCGATTGAATTCATTAATTTTTAATATATTATTAGGTATATTGACGTATCGACAAGTGTACTCACTGCAGCGCGTCGGGCGTGAGCAGCATGGTGCCGGGCAGCACGCGCACGCTGTAGGGTACCGCGGCCCGCCCCAGCGACACCCAGCCGCCGCACCAGGCCCCGTCTCGGCCCGCCGCGCCCTCCGGCCCGCCGTACCCCGCCCACATCTTGGCATCTGCCGGTATCACACTACACATAAGCCGAACTCTTATTATGTTTAATATGCTATAATCAATTGAACTTTGTTTCCTTTAGATAATATCGTCGTTAATGCGTATTGTTCAGAGAGCCTAGTGTGAGTTTCGACTCGCTCTCGACGGCAACCCACGTTCAGCGTTGCGATCGGTGAAGATTTCAGTGCGACGATCGAGTTAAAGTTGAATAATCTCAAACTAAGCCCTCAGAAGCATTAGTCACACGCTGTGCAAACAACACGTAAGAGCTTTAAGTATTTTTCATAAGGGCTACGAAAACTACGACGAACAAACGAAGGGATATGTAAACTTTAGAGTCAACACAGTGCTTTTATGACTTTATGCAAAATATTGCAGTCTTGATCTTGCTTTACCATCCGAGAGTCACCTAATGCTGTAATAAAATTAAATAATGGTATTTTGTTTAAATACTACCACGGAGCAAATAAACAAATCCAGAACAAAGTTCTACTGCTGAGAGTACTTACTGACACTTAACAGTAACTTGTAAGTACTAAACGAAGAACCGTAGATCGCACGTATCAAAGGCATATTTTTAGAAAACGATTTACAAACAATATAATTTCTTACAATATTCATACTATTTCATATGTTCAAACTATAGCGCGATTTACAAATATCAGCAACGCCATCTATTAACTCAAAACGAAACAACTTAAAATAAACTTAACCTGTTTTTACACAAAGTGTCGTTTTAACTAAAAACTGATCCAATTAACGAGTAGCTTTCATATTAAAATATAAAAAAAAATGATAAGATTACGATGCGTACTGTTAACATTTACCTATCTAAAGCTAAATACTACTAATACTTACAGTCCAGGGTGAGTTGCGCCGCGTGCGTGAGCTGTTGGTGCGGCTCGAGGTACGAGCGCGTCAGGGACACGTACACGCCTTCTGACTTCACTCCTGGTCAACAGACACACAGACTGTCAGCCTTACAGGCACACGTATGTGGCGACGTGCATTGCGGAGGTCATGGCAAACAATACCTTTTTATGTTTGGTTTAGCCAATGTTTACAAATATACTCAAGTATTGTTGGTGTGCCGGATCGTTAGAAATGTAAATCCGCGGATAAGGATACGAAGACGGACTTATAAGTGCTTAGATGTTGACACACTTATTAAATTAAGATAAAGATAAATCGTTTTAGCAAAATAATTTTAGAGTTTTTTAAATTATTAATATGAAATAATGTATAAGGGCCGCCAAAAAGTAATGGATACAGGCCTTAATAAGATATAGATGAGATAAGGTTCTAGCATTATTGTATTATCTATATTATAACTCATCATGTATCATGCAGAACTCAGTGCTCGCTTTAGTCAAATCTAAAATCAGTGCAAATCGCGTTCACATTCTACTAGCAATCGTATACCCTAAACGACTACATGTGTATTTCAGTATCATTATTTTTTCTATTCATATAGGCTTTTAATTTATTTCTCATTTCACATGTATGTTATAATCTAAGACCCTGGAGTAGGGGGTGCAGTGCTGTTACCATTTCCATTGGCGGTGCCCTTGGTCTCCCCGTTGTGCGAGGGCGCGTGCGCGAGGGGCGGGGGCGGCGGCGGCGCGGGGGGCGCGGGCGCACAGCGCGCCGCCCACACGCCCGCCTCCAGCGACACGCCTGAGCTGCCGCTGTTGCCCAGCGAGATGTCCAACTGGACACAATACGATTAGTTATTTACGTGACAAACGTAACATGAGGAATAGAGGCCTAAAAAGAATCTCTTTAAAAGGGCTCTTTAAGTATGTTTTCCTATGGCTTGAGGACGTGTTATAAATGAAATCATTTCTAGACTATTATACTCTCATTTAATTAGAGTATTGCATATACAACTTCCACTGGACACTTGCAATGTCACAGACAGAAGAGCAATGACTACCCAAGCATGTGCATAGTGCTACGTGCCTTAGTGACGTGACATAACTTACTAATGTAGTGATGTTACAACATTCCTGTCATCAAAATATATGTTAGATATATAAATTAAACAAGTTTTCTTTTTTTTAATTCTATGCACTGATATGATTTAAGATTAGAAACCTAAGTTAGGTTCAAAAAAACATTCAAAAAAAAGAACCTCTATCGAGCTTCAAAATATAAGGGAAGTAAGTGTGCTTACCAGGTCGGCGGGGTCCCTGGAGCCCCTGGTGCGCAGCCGCAGCTGCAGCGGGCTGGCGAACTCGCCCGGCGCGGCCGAGCGCGCCTCCACGCACACCACCAGCCCGCCGCCCGTTATGTTTGCCTGCGCCGTCACAATCACGTGATCAAACATATCTTATTCAACTGATACCGGTTTAAATCCCATCCGAGTACTCAGTACTCAGAACTCCTATACAATACCTTAAGACTATTTATATTTAAGTAGGTTTACTCATTCTATATCATTTTCTAAAATTAAGTGTGTAACTCTGAAGTTAACATCTGAATATTACTTTATGAAGTCGATGAAGGCCTAGTAACCTAGAAGGCTCTAAGCTTTAATACGAAACGATAATTTCTTGGAACCTGATCGGTCAGGGGACGGGGCTTGAAAGATGCGTCACTATTTTCTTAACACGAATGGACTACAAAACTGGTTGTTGCCGAATAATCCGAGCCCTCAAATGGTAATACAAAATAATTCAATATGATGGTTTTACTACAAATTATTATGAATATAATTGTCATGTAAGTTGAGCTAAGGTAGCACTCTATAATATTAAGTGTTGCTGTGAACTGAGGTACTTTTATTTACTTACCTAACAATACAATCCATGTAATGAGCGTACTCAATGGTAAAATGAAATGTATATCGAGCACTCATTAAACTAACTTTTAGAGTAAGTTCTTAAAATGATTGTCTGATGTTGACAGTATAAGCTTCGTCATAATTCGTATGCTTATTTATTACATTAGGGGTATAAAAAGTATGTATATCTGTGATACCATCTATAGAGCGTACCTTGATCCGTATGTATGCAGTGAGCGGCACGGGGTGTGCGTGGTGGGAGTGGTGCGGCTGCTGCGTGTGGTGGTGCGGCGCCAGGCGCAGGCGCACGAGCGCGCGCGTGGCGCCCGGCGCCAGCGTCCACGCGGCTCGCGGCGCCGCGGCCCCACCGTCCGGTAGCTGAAGCCCTAGCCATGAACCTGATGAGTATACCTCGCTGACCTACAACATGCACAAATCTTTTTAATATATTTGAGCTAGTACAAATCATAATGCCCTTTTTATACTGAACTATATTTTGCCCGCCACTTAGCTTAGACAAAAGGTATCTAAATACTACTTTTTTTTCTGAATTCAAGATATTCTATGTCCTGTCCTACCCGACCTGACATCCTGTGCGCAACGATTTTGAAAGACAGAAATAGGTATAAAGGCTCTTCTTTTAAGAATCAAGTCCAAAATGTTTTTTCGTGTTTCTACACTTAAGAATTTGGAAAAAATCACCATTCATTAATTTTGATTTTTTACCATGAAAAAATGAATACAATCGAGACGAAAGGTTTTTTGAAAAATCGCAAGTCATTTGAGATAAAGAGCTAAACATTTGCCTGAATGATTTTATTCGATATCAACTCAGTGCTAGTCAAAAAAAGCCGCAAGGACAGATTGCCCATAAACCCGGCATACATTTTCTTTCAAAACTTAACGATGATCGGTAAAGTAACTAAGGCGTGAAAGAGTAAAAAAAATGCATTTATGTTATGTTCAGACGGACGTTGTTTTGATAAACGCGCGCTCACAAGTACGCAAAGACTCATCATGTGAACGTACTCTTAGAATTCAAGGTTAATGCTAGGCTAGAATTTATATAAACGGACTTAAAGTAATTGTAAGATTTAACGACCTGAACATAACCGGGGCAATTAAAAAAAAATACATTGTATAAATTTTTTAGTAATTAAGCGTAAAAAGTCATAGGTGCACATTTACTATCTACCTTAAACTAATACACTGAAGGTTTGATTTTGCATAACACTTACACAGCATAAATTAAAATAATTAAATTGGGTATAACTATTTTTCATATTCCAAAACCTTGAATTAATTTTAAAATTCATTGATCCTTTAATAAGGCTAAGGCTTCTATTTACCATAATCTTTTACTATAACAAACAACTGGAGCATTTGCATAGTAATAGTACAGAATAACAACTCTTATTCCGATATAACAAAGTTCAATTCAGATCGCACTGCGCTAATTTACCTTTAGTTATATTTGCATACCTCCTTTTCTGATGACATTCATGCTAACGAGTAACAAACCTTGCGTTGTATAAATAATTAATCGGAATATTTTCATGTGCTGGATGGCAGGCTAGACACTTACTAAGATCTAAATACATGTAGATTATAGATAAATTAAAGTTAACATTTTACTTCGCAAACGTCTGCATACATTGTGAAAGATGTTAACCTAGGAAGATAGGCACTAGGCATGGGACAAAATCACAGTGAACTGTGAATGAACGGTGAATTATCATTCGATTTTTTCGTACGTAGGGTTACTACTTACTCACGCGTTGTTGCCAATAAGCTGTTTTCAGACGGTGCATAAAGACCATATTTCGTCTATTTAACAGTAAATCTAGTAAATATTTTATTATATATAGCTACCATTCCCTACATAATAATTAAAAAATAGTAGATTTACTTTTAAATAGCGTCTAACCTACCTACTTAGCAACCCTAAACTACGTACGCAAAAATCGAATAAAAAATCACAGTTCACTGTGATAGTAAAATATAAACCCTGCAAGTTATGTTGATGACTTGCCAATAAAATAATTTAAAATCAATTTAGCCCCTGCTGGAGGTCCAAGGGTAGAAGTAATTACCTGTATGGTTTGATCGGTAGGGTTGTGCATTGTAAGCAAGGGCTCCACGGTAGCATTGAGCGGCACGCGCACGCCGACCAGCGGCCACACCCCCCACTCGCTCGCCACACCCACCGCCGACACCTGACGTCACACATCACTGACTTAAGTAATTCAACTAATTATAACCTATTGACTTTTTACTATTATAGTATAAATAAATATTCATAAGGCCACTTTCGTTTTTTTTCCTTTTATATTCTCATTATTCTAAATATTTGACCTTGGTGTAGAACAGGTGGGTGGTCATGAATAAATATTAATATATTTGTATGTCCGGTAGGTTTGTTTAATTTGGCAAAAGCCCCTGACATTTGATGGTGAAGTATTCATCTCTACGTAATACTCGTAACTAGCGGACCCGACAGACGTTATCCTGTACACACGTCTTAAAGTAAAAAAAAAACATTTTGTAGTGGAACTAATTGTGAATATAAAGAATTCTCAAATCTACTGAACACACACAAAAAGTCATGTCTATATCAAAATGAAGTCTATAAATATATATTTAACCAATTACCATATGTATAGGTAAATAACGAGTGCATACGCTATATAAATATATACATATGTTTACATAATACACGTACAGTATGAATAATGAATAACACATACATAGTACAGTCTACAGAGCAGCCTGTTGGCTTACTACTGAGAGAACAAAAGGTTTAAATATAAATTTCCCTAATTAAATGTAAAATAAAGAGAAGTTGAAGAGCGACAAGGTTTGCTCCTGTGAACACGTACTCGAAGGACTCGCGCAATTATAAAGGGAAATCAGTATTGTGACCAGCTGAATAAAGCAAGGCAGTTATTTGAATAATCCAGGATACACTAAGAATGAAATATTCAAGAACACCTGCACCTTGGCGACCTGGAGGGGTAGGTGTGAATTATTTTACAGAAACGGAACAGAAACGGAAATCTATGCAAATAATTACCAAAATAACCTCGAGAAGCCATTACTTTTTATACGAAGAAGTACTCTCTTCAGAATAGTAAGCGATTATCAGAGCTTTATTTATCTTCAGAAAATATTTGAATCGTCTAATATGGTTATAGTAAGTAGCATATACATACGAGACGCTTTCCAGAAAGTTTTGAATTCATTCAAAATGTTTAGTGTTCGTATCAAGAAATTTAATTTGTTCGTAGCCACACACTGTTCGACAATAAAACAAAACAATACTTACGGGATATTTATGCACTCCTAAAGACGTATGTATATAGAGATGAGCAGAGACGGGACCCTCGCGCCGTCCCAGGTAGACCACGCTGAACGTCGTGTTGGCTTGCGGGGGCAGCGTCTGCAGGCATACGGAGGAGACATTACATACATGGTACAACAAGAGCAATGACAGGAGCTGAACGGTAACTGTAGCTAGCGACATCACAGGCCCCTAAGAATTTGTATGGCATTAAATTATTTTTATAGTCAAACAGAAGAAGTCTATTTTCGGTGACGGATTGTTATAAACTAGTTACAACAGAGACGATGTAAGTTTTCAATTATTGCTTTAATACGAATTAAGTAGAGCAGGAATATTGACGTTCAGGTGTGACGTTTTCTGATAGTAATTGAATTGAATATGCTTTATTAGGATTAGTTCCTTTCATGAGTGCTATTAATAAATTTACCTTAATTTAATTAACAACAGCAATTATTTAGTGTGTGGGTGCATTAATACATATAAAGTTCTGAACGCGTTGCATTTTTAAGGTTCCGTACCTCAAAAGGAAAAAATAGACCCTTTATATTGAGAACGCGTGGGAGGTATCGAGTTAAAATTAAAACCATATACTCCGGTCTAACTTCTAAAAAGTCAAACTTCTAAGTTAACGTAAAAAAAAGATGGTGCCACAAAAACGCATATTTCGACATTGTCAAAGGAATCAAAATTCATAGGGAACTTCCCGATGAAATAGAACTATGCAATTTGGCAAGTAACATTGTCTTATACTACAAGTACAGGAAGAAAACTATACATTTGTAATTTAATCATAAAAATATAGTCTTTATTCAAATTACGTAATCAATCTTCGAGGTACAATTTCATTTATTAAACACAATTTAAGTAATTGTAGGTTTTGGAAACTAAATTTCGTAAAAAGCTTAGAAAAACATTGAGACTCGATTCTTGAACTATTTATGATATTGCACCATATTGACCTTGCACCTACCGACTATTACTTTTTCCAAAATTTAGACAACTTTTTAGTGGGTAAAAAATTCGATTCCCGAGAGGCAGTACAAAATGCCTTTGAAGAGTTTGTTGCCTCCCGTCCAGCTGATTTTTACAAGAAGGGCATGAATAAACTGCCAATGCGTTGGCAAAGATGCGTCGATTGCATGGGTGATTACTTCGAATAACAGAAATAAAACAGTTAAAAAAATAAAAAATAAAAAGTTTGAAACAATAAGTACTTTCACTTATTGCATACAAAACGGCAATTTCATAGGTAAAGACCTATTATTACGTTAGATATATGTGTCAATGTTATTATGGATTATTAGTTATCAACTCCTCACATGTAGATTACACATAGATAATTGAATTTGACTGCACGAATGGCGTAGTGGTTTAAGCGGTCGCCACGCTGAGTGTTGTGGGTCCGATTCCTACATGGGACGACACCTTGTGTGATCGACAAATTGTTTGTCGTTTCATGTATGTTTGTAAAGTCGACACAGGATATATTCAAGTGCGGGAGATGTCTTTAAAAAAAATGTACTTACAGTCCTATATACTCGTAATACCTACACATAATTTCTCACGTTTACGAGATCTTTGATGACACTTTTGCTATTGTTATCGATATTATTTTCCTCATCATCCTTTCTTGTTAATCCTCTTCCAACATCTTTTAACTTAATCAATTGTAATCGAAATTGTTTGTAAAACATAATCAGTACATCGATCGCACAATCGTAAGACAGCTGATAAATATAGACACGCCCCTAATGACTTGTTTGCTTTTATAAAAATGCTTCTATTTTTTAAATTGACATGTGCTTTGACGGGACCCAATCAGGTCTAACAGAGCATTTCTCTATTTTGTTTACATTGCGAGCATTCTTGGATCTCTAGTTATATCTTGACATTTTTCTCAACCTTCCTGACAAATATGCTTCTATTTCATACCTATAGCTAACCCATTTTTTTTAACGACTCTTACAAGCTTACGGCCGCGACTCCCTGCTCCATTAATGTCAAGTAAGTTACAGACTTCAGATTGCCGACGCCTTATACTCATGTTATTGATAACGACTAGCTGGTACCCGCGACTTAGTGGTGTAGTGCGGGACGCTACTGCAGTCCATGAGGCCTTGTGTTCGATTCCGGGATCGGGAATTTTTTTATAGGGTTTTTCTGACAGGAAAATAGCCTAAGTTTCTCCTCACATAGACAGCTACTTGGAAGTAAAATATTATCAAAATCGCTCCAGCCGTTTTGAAGACTACCCGGCACAAGATATTTAAATTGGTTTTTAGGCATACATTCGTGCCAATAACCGTGTGAGCATGAAAAAAATTACTATTATTTTCACATTACAAACATACACTTAAATTTGATTTATTTGTATAGATTTAGCGATGTTGCCCTAATGTATCGACATCAAATAAGCAAAATCTCTTCGATTCTTCATACATATTCATCATGTTCTGACGAGAAAAGTTACAGACGGCCATTCTCGGACACTATAAACTTCAACAAATATACTGATAATAACTAAAAGAGCTTTAAGCGAAAGTGGATGTCACAGGACCGGTCCTTTAAAAGAGAAATACTTTTTTATACTTTGACTTTGAAACATTATGTAACGAACATTTTCACAACAGGGCTTCTCAAATTCCAAGATAAAAATAAACAAGACCGCAGTGAAGGATTTTTGCTGTATCGATTGTAGTATGGCGTCGCATGCAGTTTGCACTTTGCAGCGCATTGTATGCAAAAAGTTGTCGGCACCACACGTGCATTACTGACCTGCACCGAGCTTATATTTACGCATATATTAATAACTGAAGTAACGTTTGTAGAAAATATGGCGCAATATCTTATTTGGAATACTTATTTTGAACACAATACCGAGTTCAAAATGATGTACCTAAATGAAACGAAATTAGATTTAAGGCGCCTCATAATCTCTAGTCTCTACTGACCTGTAAATCCTGGCCAACTATCTAGACTGGTCTGCTGTTCTTGTGATTAGTGAGCCTGACTGCTAAGCCGAAAGGGTTGGATTCTCACTCAGGACACATAATTGTGTAATGTGCACAATCATTTGTTCTGTGTCTGGGTGTAATTTATCTATAATATGTAGTATGTAGGTATTTAAAAATATTTAAGTATGTTTATCAGCAGTCTGGTTAACATAGTACAGGCTCTGCCTAGTTTGGGATCAGACTGCCGTGTGTGAGATGTATCAAGTTAATATTTATTATTAAGGTAATAAGATAACATAGTGATGTTCAGAGAACATGTGTGGCTGTATGCTACCCTGTAATGAGGGTTGTTGACAGAAAAATACATTTTATAGTATTAATACAATTCCCTACGTACACAATAGTAGTAAGCTATCTTTAGGACAAGTTGTCTATTACTTATTAGATTATAAATACTAAAAAGTTCGTAATTAAAATATTATACAAGAATATTTTCTCGTTTAATTCCTTTCAGATCGCGTTGGAGGGTTTTGCTCTTTAAAATTATATTTTATTAGCTTCTTGAATATGAGTTTTTACGCCGTCGATTTATGTCAAAGTAATAAGATAAGAAACCTTCCACTAACCAAGCAAAACCTGTAGTTTATACGTATTATAAACAGCTGATTACATCAAACAATAATAATTATTTATTGTTAGCGGTTGGCGAACGTGGGTGACATTCTCCACATAGACTAGACCATCACGGTGTCAGGAAACGACACGTCCGATATGACCACGATTGGAACAATAATTTACTTAAATTTTCAAAACACGATCGAGATCTAAAATGTAGATTTATATAATTACATAGTTTAATAGATAGGCTATAAAGTAGTTTTTTTATAAAATACTAGCTGTAACCTGCCAAGCTTCGCTGTGGCACATTGTGGTTGCCTTCGTGTATAATCATCATCTGCCTACCCTTTTCCCAATTTTATTTGGGGTCGGCGCAGTATGTACGATTTTTTCCATTCTACTCTGTCATGCGTCATCTCACTGTTTACTCCCTTCCTAGCCATATCCTCTCTCATGCAGTCCATCCACCTTTTCTTCGGTCTGCCTCTTCTCTTGTACCCTTCAACTCCCATACCTAAAACTTTCTTTGCCACATTTTCCTCATCCCTCCGCATGACATGTCCATACCAAGATAACATATTACTTCTTAACTTTTCATCCAGTGGCGCTACTTTCAGACTCCCTCATGTATAATGAAAAAAAAAATTAGCCCTATAAAATTGCATCACCGAAGCGGGTTAAAATTTGAGCGCGGTATATCGTGTCAAAATTTGAGCTCGATCGTGCACAACCTTTTGAGTTTTTAAAGCTTATACAAAACTAGCTTAACTTTTTTATATATATATGTTTTTTTTTATATAACTTTAGTTTATAAGACTCACACCAATGTATACAAACTGTATTTTCACTATGTTTTTATTGTACAATAAAGAGATATCTATCTATCTATAAATACCAAAAAAAAAACTTGCTTTCTCTCTTCTCTTCTGGCTCGGTGAAGTGAGTGACATTACTAGAGCCAATAACGCCCTCTCCTTAATTCTGAGCAGAGGGACTCAAAAGGCGGCAACGTACTTGTGACTCTTGAATTGCAAATGTCCATGGGCCACCACCAACCACTTACCATCAGAATACCACCGCCCCCCTCCTCATACCATACGAAAACAATTTTTTACACAAAACACAATTTTGCGAAGGATCGTAATTTTTTTTCATACACTTTCACGAATATCCCTATAGAAAGTTAGCATGCGTCCAATTGAAAGTCCTAGATGGCCACGGACTGTCGCCTTTCTTAGAAGTAAGCTTTTTACGGGAACATCCCTAATTAACTTCAGGGACTCAGTGAACGAGTAGCAGGTAGCTCTGTCATGCTGCAACCACATAAACCTTTTTTAGCTACTGAAATCCTGCAGTTGTCGTGCTAGAAACTCCCAGAATGTTACATTCTGACATACTCAGCCGAGTTACTCAATAATGTTTAATGGTATTTCATGTGTACGTTTAGAATTTAAGCTATTCCAATATCTGCAGTTCTGTTCTTGAACGTGGCCATTGAAATAGGAAAGGGCTTCGTCGGTTAAC